TTACCTAAATATCATCGAGCTACAAATGATCAATGTCAAAATGAAGCTGATGGTTTATTAATAAATACAAATATAACATTAAGAGATCATCGTTGTCCAAATATATTCAGTTCACCATTTTATATTATTCAAGCAATTTGTATTGCTTTTTTTACATTGGAATTTCTTCTTCGTCTTGTAACTTGTCCATCATATTTTAAATTTATAAAATCAATTTTAAATTGGATTGATTTACTTGCTATAGGTATATATTTATTTATTTATTTATTTTCCTATATTTCTTTTTTGCTTTTTTAGTACCATTTTTTATTCGACTCACAATAATTCTTATTCGAGCTCATTATGAAACCGATTCAAATGTTTATCTTATTTTACGTCTTCTTCGTATTATACGTTTTATACGTATATTTAAACTTTATCGTATATTTAAAAGTATTCAATCATTACGTGTACTTGCTAGTACATTGAAAGAATCATTGGCTGATTTTATTATCATACTTACATTTCTTTCACTTAGCGGATTTCTATTTGGTGCGGCATTTTATTTTACTGAAAATTCAATGAACGAAAATATGTTTGATTCAATACCAACAGCAACTTACTATGGTATTATGACAATTACAGCTGTTGGGTAAAATATATTGTTAATTTAAGAAAATTAAAAAGAAACATTTTTTTGTTTATAGATATGGTGATTTATCACCAGTGACACCATTAGGACGAGTATTAGCGTCTTTATGTGCTATTTTTGGTATTTCAGTTGTATCTATGCTTGTTTCCGTACTTGCCGAAAGATATCAACGAGTTTATACACGAAAACTTTTTCTTAATGAAAAATATTCTGATGATCCTGTTTTCGAAGATGATGAAGAAACTGATTCTACATTATCACTATCAAATGATGATGATTTATTTCAAAGTCAAACATCCGTTACACCACAAATGAAATCGATTTCAAAAACTATCGAACTAGCTGAAGATGATGAAACAAATAAAGTAAAATCATTGGGAAATTCAACAGAAAAAATTCAATTTGTTATTGGTTTTATATTAGATGATTCAAAGAAAAGAGAAGATTTAATCATGACTGAAATGATTAAAGAAATTCTTGATGTTAAATTTGGAAAACAATATTTAATTACTAGAACAGATGTTTCATTATAATTTTTTTTATTATTAACGGAATATTGTATTTGCTATTTTAAATAATATTAAAATATGATAAATTTTCTCTTATGACTATATATTTACTACTAACTGACAGTGACATCTAAATTTCGATTATATTTTTATTCTTGTAAGTTTTAAAAAATCGAAAAAATTTTAAAGATTTTGATTAATAATAAGAAGAAAATTGAAGAGTATATTATTCTAACGTTTTTATTTCATATGAACAATCACACGAAACATGAAGGTTTCTGCATATCGCATTGGTTATTTGTATTTTATCAAGATCCACTATTCTATGGACTTGCACTTAACTTGACTTCACGATAGTACTGAGAGGTTCGCTTGTTTTTCAATCGATAGAAACGTACTATACTCTGCATAATTGTTTTTTTTCTCGATAGAACATGTTGTTCTTGATATACTATTTCGTCATTGTCCTAGAGATTCTATCAGGTCCTTTTTAAATTACTTCTAGTGTAATCGATCGATAAAACCTTGAATTTTGATTATTTATGATAAACAGTATGCTTAAAAGTTTAACTGATGATTGTGAATAAATAAATCTATTCAATGGAATTATTTAGTAATTTTATTCGTATTGAAAATATTTTCGAAATGTTATTCATGATATATGTTACAGACAATAGAAGTATTAAATATAAACAGAGAAATATCATTAAATAAATCTAATATTTAAATTAGTAAAGAAAATAACAATAATATTAGATTTATTTGATAACATAAGAATTACTTTGTTTTTATTTTTGTTATTATTTATTTATTTTGTTATGTTTATTATAGATTAATCGTCATCTTCATTTGTTAACTAATTAATTATGGGTTTTGGACAAAATTCACGAGGTGGCGGCGGTGGCAGTCGAGGTCGTGGTGGTGGTGGTTTCAGAGGTGGTCGAGGCGGCAGCGGTGACAGAGGTAAGATCAGTTGATTGTTATTAGAAATAAAAATAAGATTTATTTTTTATAGGCCGTGGAGGATTCAGAGGAGGACGAGGCGGCAGCGGTGACAGAGGTAAGATCAGATTATTGTTGTTAGAAATAAACATGCAATTCATTTTTTATAGGCCGTGGAGGATTCGGAGGTCGCGGTGGCGGTCGTGGCCGTGGCGGATTTGGAGATCGCGATGGTGGTGGTCGAGGCGGCGGTCGGGGATTTGGAGATCGCGATGGTAGCCGCGGTGGTGGTCGAGGTGGCGGTCGTGGATTTGGAGATCGCGATGGCAGTCGCGGCGGTGGTAGAGGATTCGGAGGCCGCGGCGGTAGCCGAGGTGGTGGTCGACCATTTGAAGGCAGTAAGAGTTCATTCTTTATTATATAGACTTTTTTTTAATAGTATCTTAATTATTTAGAACGCGAATTTATGACTGACGCCGTTTATGTCGGATCAGTACCTACTGATATGCAAGAAAATGATTTCAAAAAACTTTTTCCAAAAGCCACAAAAGTTCATGTCTCACCAGCTGAAGGAACTCGACCTGGGTTTGTTCTTATTTTAAATTTGTATTCTATTAATAATAATTATCTATATATAGTCATGCTTTTATTACTTTTGCTGATGATGCTTCAGCAGCCGCTGCTGTTAAACAAGGTGCTACATTCAAAAATACTCAACTTAAAGTAGCATTTCAAAATAAACGTGCTGAACCACAAAAACGATCGGTTGATGGTGGTGATAAATCTGGTTAGTATTTTTTCTTTATTCCTAAGAAAAGATTTCTTTTTTACCAATTCTTTCTTTTATTTAGGCCCCAAAGCTAAAAAACTCAAAGGTGATGCAAATGGTGGTAAGAAAGCAGCTGGTTCCGATGATGACGAAGATGAAGATGATGATGATGAATCAGTAAGTTTTAAAAATAATTTAAAGATAGTTTAAATAATTGATAAACTTGAAATTAATTTAGATGGATTTTGAAGGAGATGATGATGAAGAAGGTGGTGACGATGATGATGAAGAAGATGATGATGATGATGACGATGAAGGTGATTCGGATGATGAAGAAGATGAAAAAAGTATTAAAAAAACTGTTGCAAAAATGGTAGCTGGTGGAAAATCAGTAAGTGTCAAAGTATTATTATTATTATTATCAAGAAATATGAACTGATTTTATTCATAGGATAAAGCAGCTGGAAAAAAAGTTGCAGCAGCAGATGATGATGAAGATGATGATGTAAATAAAGAGTTTTTGTGCTGTACAATATATATTAATTTTTCATTTCATAGGATGACGATGATGATGAAGAGGATGAAGAAGAAGTACCAAAAAAATCTCAAAAAACTCCTCCAGCATCAGCTAAACAACCAGCACCAACTGCTGCTCAAAATAAAAATAAAGGCAAAGAATTAACAAAACCAACTGTCATCGATAATTCACTTCAAAAAAAGAACAAAGCTTCAGATCAAACTGTCTCAAAAAAGTCAACACCAGCCGAAGTTCAAAAGCGTTCAGTCGATAATGGTGACAAATCAGGTTAGTTACTTTTATCATATTTCATATAAAAAACTAAACGAATGATTTCTTTTTCCAGGTCCACAATCGAAAAAACTTAAAAATGAACCTGTAGTCAGTGCTAAAAATGGTTTGAAAGGAAAAGGAAAACCAGTCGAAGATGATGATGAAGATGATGATGACGACGAAGACGATAGCGATGATGAAGAAGTAAGAGTTTTGTACGATAGAAAAATTCAAATCATCTATTTAATTACTTTTTAGCTCGACTTCGACGAAGATGATAGTGATGATGAAGATGATGACGATGAAGAAGATGATGATACACCTAAAAAACCAGCTGGCAAATCACCTGCAGTTGGAAAACAAGTATGTTCATTTAATATATATTGTTTCGCAAGTAAAACTTTTTATATTTATAGGCTAAATCTGCTGCTAAACCATCACTTGCTGATGATGATGAATCTGTAAGTATAATTATATAGTTTCTGATTTTATCATAATTATAATTCGTTATTTAGGATGATGATGATGAAGATGATGATGACGAAGATGTAAGTTATCATAATATCTAAATCTTTTCTTTTTATTAAAAACTAAATTTTTCTTTAGGATGATGAAGACGATGAAGAATCTGCACCTCCAGCAAAACCACTCAAATCTGCATTAAAACAAGCACCAACACCAGCTAAACAAAAATCTCCAGCAACACCAGCACCTTCAAAACAAAAACCAGCAACGCCTCCTGCAAAATCTGAAACTAAACCAGCAACACCAGCTGCTGATAAACCACTTGATAAAAAACAATTGTTTATTAACTCAATAAAAGAAAGCGTTAGTGTATCTGATATGAAAGCACTTTATCCAAAAGCTAAAACCGTTAAAATGCAAAAACGTAAAGTTGGTCCAAATTCACATATTCAGTATGTTTTCTTCATATAAATATATATGTTTTCTTCAAAAAGATTATTTTCTCTTTTGTTTAGATTTGCTTTCGTAACATTTGAAAATGAATCTGAAGCTGCAAACGCATTCAAAGCTCATACACAAATTGGTGGTGAAAAAGTAAATATCTCATATGCATTTGCTCAAAAAAATCCACAACAACAACCAAAACAAGGAGATACAAGTAATGTATCAGATAAAAAACCAGAACAAAAAAAAAACGATAATAAAGAAAAAAAACAAACACCACCACCAGCTAAAAAAGAAAAAGTCAAATCTGGTATGTAGAAAATTCAAATGTATTATTAAGTTTTATTTTTTTGATTATTTAGAAAAACAACTTTCAACAAATTCAATTTATGTTGGTCAATTACCGGAACATGTAACTGAAGATGATATTAAAAAACTTTTTCCAAAAGCAAATAAAATTGAATTATTTCCCACAAAAGCAAAAAATAAAGGTGTTCGACCTGGTTTTGCTTTTCTTACGTTTCCTGATGATAATTCAGCAGCTGCTGCTATTAAACTTGGAGCATCATTAACATTAAAAGATACACAATTAAAAGTTAATTATCAAACAAAAAAACCAACACCAATAACAGCTGAATAAAAATAAAAACGAACTTTTCATTTTTGTTTTTCTCTGTTTTTTTGTGTATTGAATGTTTTTCTTTTGTTATTGTTAAAAATTCTACATGATGTTATCCGTTGATTTTTATCTTCAATTTATGAAGATAGATACGCATGTAGACATGAACTTTTTTGTTTTTTGTTCATTCAACTATATTCGTTGTTTTTTTATTATCTTCTGTTGAAGATATATGATTCATAACGATACATTAAAAAAAAAGAATTTTGAAATTAACCATTAATTTATCATAGTTTTTAATCAAGGGTACAGAAAGCGAAATTTCATTCACTTCAAAATTGTCTGAATTTCGTAATGACACGTCATGAAATTTGAATCTATTTTTGTTTATTAGATAAATTTGTCTTCAGAAAATATCGAGATATGATAACCAAGAGAAAGAAAACAAAAAGAGAAGAAAAATATGTATATAAAATAAAGTCATCTGACCAAATGAGAACGAAAAGAATAAGTCAACATTATTTCGATCGATCTTAACTTTGTCCGAACCAATTTGTTCCTGTTGATGAAGTACTTTTAACTTGTGGTCGTTTCAATGCAAATGATGTTGTTGATCTCATATTTGTTGATTCAATAGGTTTAAACGCTGAAATATTTGTATCAATAGGAGTTGTTCGTGACGGAAGAAGATGATTTAAAAATGGTAATGAAGGATGATATGATGTTGTTTGTGATAGTTCACCTTTTGATTGTTGTAATAATGTTAAATCTGTATTTATATTATTTTGATTATTAAATGAAAATGATGGAGGAAAAAAATTAAAATCATCATTATCATTAGTTGTAACTGTTCGTAATAGATTTACTGGTTCAAATAAAGATTGAGCAAATGGTGATCGACCATCTAAATAAATGAAGAAATAAAAATATGATTTTATAAAGATAAAAATACCGTTTTCTATTTGTTTGGATAAATGATTAAACGGTGTTGAATGTCGATCTAAAATAATTCAATAAATTATTTCAGATACATAAAATATATCATACTTCGATCAAGAAGATTATTGAATGATGAAATTGGTGGTTCACGAATTGGTTGAAAATCTAAATTAATTTTCTTAGAGAACTATTTTATTCAAATTACAATTTTTACATTTTTCTCGATCTTTAGTAGTTGTACTTATAGGTGATGGAGGTAAAATAATTGATTCTTGTGAAATTCGATTATTTAATGGTGGTGGTGGTTGTGGTACTGATAAAATCGATGAATTATTCGTAGGAGTTGAATATGATTGAGTATCATTTTCATGTTCATCATCATCTTGTTCAACAATACAATCATAAATACGTTGTGCAAGTGATTCTTCAATTTCTAAAAGCATATCAACATTTGGTTTATCATTCATTTCAATGGATATTTCGTGTAAAAAATCATTAATCAATGGCCAATATTCATTTGATATATTAATCGATGGATTATCATGAAGAATTATTTCTGATTCCGTATTTATTGTTATTGATGGTGATGAAAGTCGATTTTGTTCGACTGGATATGTAAAATTTGTAATAGATTCACCTTGTCGTATAGATTCATCTATTGTCGGTGGTAATATAGATTTTGGTGATATTGGTGGTGCTATCGATTCTTGTACAGGTTTTTGTCGATGTTGTGAAGTTGCATGAAAAAGTTCATTCAAAGAAAGACGTGGTACTTGTGATGTTTTATTTAAAGAATGATGACAATCTCCTCCATGTCGATTAGATGATATAAGACATGTACATCGAGTATCTTGATCAGTTCGAACTGGTTTTATAGTAGATGGAGGATCATGAAATTCAAAACGAGCTCTTCCACCATCTAAACAAAAGAACTTGTATATATATAGATGAAAAATTCGATTTTTTTAACTAACCATGTTTTTGTACATTTGTTATTGTTTCACCATTTTTATGTTGACGTTGAAAACGTTTCATAAATCGACTTGTATGTGATACACGTTGTTTTGATGTATCACCTGATGGTTTTCGTCCAGTAGAAAATTTTCGTTTAATCATAACCTGCTGATTAGAATTAATATTATTATTATTATTAGATTTAGGTGTTATATATGTCTCATTTTGTTGTTGTTGTCGATGTGTATGAGTGATTTGTATTGATGTATTGATAGGACGTGATAGTGATGGATAATTAGTTGATTTAACAACTGATTTATGTTGTTCATCGAGATAACGCTTAAATAATGTCGAATTAGCTCGATCAACATTTGGTAAAGATGAACGTGAACTATCCATTCTAAAATAAAAGTTTGTTTTCTATTATTGATTGAACAATTGATACAAGATTGTGTGCTTATAAGGAATCAGTTACTAATGGATTGTTTTCTTGATTATTTTTATACAATATTTCAGATTATTATATCAACTATAGGAAAAGTCCGAGTTCATAGTAGTTTATAATTCAAACTGCAAGAAAAGTTGATCTAGATTCGGAAGTGATACGCTTGTGATTAATGAGCGATATGCTCAGAACACTGGAATCTTGTAGATCTTCATATAATGTTAACTTTCAAAAACCTGTTCAATGCATTATGAACTTTTCTTTTCAACGATAAGTTCGTAGTCTGCCATCTGTTTCTATTAAAAATTCATCAAAACAATCTCAAATATTTCTTTCTTATTTCATACGAATAAAAGACAAGATATAGTGTAAACATATACAATCATCAATCGAATTTTTTTTCTTTTAACAACAAGAAAGACAAAAATATAAACAGAATAGAAATATTAAACAGTCATTGGTACAGCTGATTGATTATCATTCATTGTCAAGATTTCTTCAGATTTAATTTCTGGTTCATCTTTAGTTTCAACTAAATTTAAACTCATTAATCTTTCTACTTCTTGTGGTGCTGCTGCAGCTTCACGATTTGTATGAATACGTTGTGAAACAGCATCCAAATCTGATGAAAAACGTTGAAGTGCATCACGAAGACGTTTTAATTCTGATGAATCAATAGCAAGTTTTTGTGATGATGATGTTGATGATGAATTTGATAAACGATTCGATGAATTTGGATCAACTAATTCCATTGTTAATTCAGCTATACGTTTAAAAGAACTACCAGTCTCAAGAAGAATATCTGCTGCTTTCGATGACATTGACATGATCAAATAGAATTTTTCTTTATAAGAAAAAAAAAACGAAGCTATACTCACTATACAAAGATGAACATTTCTATTGGTTAAAAATTTTATCCAATTGAAAACTATTTTACTCTTAAATATTCATCTGACATCTAGATCGTTTGTTTCTAAGTATATAGAAATCAACAATCTACATATATAGTTTATATAATTTTTAGATAAATAAATGTCACCTCCAGCAACAACAACAAGTACATCAACGAAGATGAACGGTGATGGACAAAGTCCTAATGAAAATGATTTATCATCAACAGATAAAAATTCCTTAATAACAATATCTCCATTAAATAAAATTGAAAAAGTTATTGTTCATCCACTTGTACTATTAAGTGTTGTGGATCATTTTAATCGTATGGGAAAAATTGGAAATTCTCAACGTGTTTGCGGAGTATTACTTGGTTCACTTAAAAATAAAATTCTTGATGTTTCAAATAGTTTTGCATGTAGGAAATATTATTCTTTTTCGGAATTTTGAAAATTTATTTATTTTAAGTACCATTTGATGAAGAAGAAAAAGAAAAAGAAGTTTGGTTTCTTGATCATGAATATTTGGAAAATATGTATACTATGTTTAGAAAAGTTAATGGTAATTTCTATTCGTTTTTTTATTCTTAAAAAATAAAATTTGGAAATTTTAGCTCGAGAACGTATTGTTGGATGGTATCATACAGGTCCAAAATTACATCGAAATGATATAACAATTAATGAATTAATTCGAGAATATCATCCTGATTCCGTTCTTGTTATTATTGATGCTAAACCAAAAGATTTAGGTTTACCTACTGAAGCATACATTGCTGTTGAAGAAATTCATGATGTAAGCTTCTTTTTGCGTGTTTCTATTGAATGTACATCGTGTATTTAAGGATGGAAGTCCAGCTTCGAAAACATTTGAACATTTACCGTCAGAAATTGGTGCAGAAGAAGCAGAAGAAGTTGGAGTTGAACATCTTCTTCGGTAGGTTAAAAATATATTCTCTAATCAATGAATGATTCTAATCTTCTTTTTTAGTGATATTCGTAATGCAACTGTTGGTACACTTTCACAACGTATTACAAATCAATTAATGGGTCTTAAAGGTTTAACAAAAAGTTTATATGATGTTCGTGCTTATCTCGATAAATTATTAGCAAATAAATTACCAATGAATCATCAAATTTTATCCCATATTCAAGATATATTTAATTTATTACCTGATGTAACACAACAAGATTTAATAAAATCAATATATGTTAAAACAAACGATGAAATGTTACTTGTTTATCTTTCATCATTAATTCGTTCAATAATAGCATTACATAATTTAATTATGAATAAAATTCAAAATTCCGATGCAGAAAAAGTTGATAATACAACAACAACAACAACAGCAACAACTGTCGATAAAAAAACTGAGAAAGGAAGTGGTGATAAATCATCAACAACAACAACTGGCAATTCTAGTTAACAAAATAAAAACATATATAGTTGTTCTTTTATGTTTGCTGCCTTTTCTTCATTCTTTTTTTATTATTATTATTATTATTATTTCAATAAATCCGAACTCGAAAGAGTAAAAAAAACAGAAGAAGAAGAAGATACTCGAATGTTATAGAATACGAAAGAAAAAAAAAATCATTCAACCATAAAAAAATACTAAATACTTTTATGTTTTTAGACAAATAAACAAGAATATAGAAGATGCAATTACGTGTTCTTACATTGAATATTTGGGGTGTTCATTATGTTTCAAAATTGATTAGTCAACGTATTCAAGCTTTAATTGAACATTTAATAGATCCTGATACAAATTATGATATTATTGGATTACAAGAAGTAAATAAAACGAAATTTAAATATTTTGATTTTCTTATATAATTAATTATAGGTTTGGAGTAAAAAAGATTTTATTTATTTACGTGATCAATTAAAAATTATATATCCACATAGTTATTATTTTTTAAGTGGTCTTATTGGTTCAGGATGTTGTATGTTTTCAAAATATCCAATTATTGGAGTCTATGAACATCGTTATACTTTAAATGGTATGTTGTTAATCTTAGCACTATCAACCCGAGTTAAAAATATATCAGAAATATTTTGCTTTTCCCCAGTTTTTAGAAGTGATTAAGTCATTTGTTAGCAACATGACCTCACAAAATTGAAATATTAAATAATTACTCGAAGTATTTTCGGATGAGCTCTAAAGTTTACTATTCACTAAATTTAACGAAGTAGTAAACGAAAATGTCGAAGTTTCTTTATATGCCTATAGTTGAAGAATTTATTCTAGACAAACTTCCTTCTAAAAAAATTAATGTCGAATGAAGCTGGAAAATATCCTATTCTACCAATATATGTTGTCAAATCCATAAAGTAATTCATTTCTTTTCTATAAATCGACTCTCAATTCACAAGTAAATGAGTCATGTAGCATTCTCATTGAATAGTTCAAAATCACGTATCTAAGATATCCAGGTGCGCACTAATCAATGACTTATTTAATATAGGTTTTCCACATAAAATTCAACATGGTGATTGGTTTTGTGGTAAATTAATTGGTCTATGTAAAATTCTTGTTAATGGAAAGATTGTCAATGTATATAATACACATTTACATGCCAATTATCATCATGTTATACCAAAAGATATTTATTTAGGACATCGTGTATGCCAAGCATATGAATTAATTCAATTTATTGAAAGTACATCATCAGCTGATACAACAGATTTAACAATTCTTTTAGGTGATCTCAATTTAACAACTCAAGATTTAGGTTTTAAACTTATTCGAGGTATTCTTCAATTAAATGATTCATTTCTTCATCGTATTAATAAAGTAAATTATTTTGTTTTAATATTAAAAAAAGATAAATTATTATTTTTTTAAAAGGATGTTTTTGATCCAACTGTTGGTAATAATGGTTTAACATGTGATTTACTTGATAATCCATATGTTACTCCACATCCTTATCAAGGTGAAGGTGAACGAATTGATTATATTCTCTATCGATCACGAAATGGTTTGTTGTTATTAATTTAAAATTTTATTTATACATCTTCTTTAATTATTCAGATAATGTTAAATGTCTTGAAGCATATCCAACATTACATAAGGTACCAAATAATCCAGCTGGACTTCATTATTCTGATCATTTGGCTATTTATGCTTTATTTGAAATTGATGAAAAAATTCCAGAAAAAAATTCCATTTCACATAAAAATATTGAAATACTTGATGAAGAAACCCAAAATGATCTTCGTGCAGCTTGTATTATTGTTCAACAATCAATTCAACGTGCACAACGTCATAGATTATTTTGTATTTTAGCAGTTATGATTCTCATATTTCTCTTATTCTCATTTAATAATTATTTATTTACAATATTAATTATTTTTAAAAATCTTTTTTCTCTTATTTGTATCGCAATTTGTATTTGGTTCATAGGCTTAGGCAAACCTGTTGAACGAAATGCATTAAGTTCAATACATAATGCAATGCATTTACGCTTACGTTTATCTCAATTTACTTATTAAAATAATCTCATTTTTCTTTTTTTCTCGAAAATAAAATCTCTTGAATTTGCTTCTTCTTCTTCATTTTAGATGGAAATATCTCGTGAAATATATTTTATTCTATGCGGAATTGCATTTACAATATTTTTTGATTTATATATAAGTTCATCAAGTTATGTACTTATTTTATGCGCATGTATTCGTATTCTTTCAATATGTATAGCATTTTTTTATCGAATTATTTATGATAATTATGATAATAATGATACAAAGAAAACATTTTGGAATCCATTTAAAAATATATTTGTTGTTATAGCAGCTATTCAACAAGCATTTGTTTTGTATTATATTAAATTTTCATTGAATATTTGGATAATATTATATATAATTGTACAAGTATCTATGCCACTCTTCGCTTATTTATGGATTCGTCGTATAGAAAGACAAAATCTCAGTTTCTTACAATATGCTTGGTTTGAAATATTTGATTCAAAAACTAATCAAGGTTAGAAAGTTTCTTTTTTTTTAAAAATAGATACTTGAAATGGGAATAAGTTAAATAACTAATATAGTTTATGTTTTTGTAGCTTAATAGAAAATAAATCTAACATCGATCATTTCAAATGTAAGTCTTATTAGATTAATATGCATGTGCATGAATAAAATGTTTGTTTTCAAATAGATTATTATAATCATATAAAGAGATATTTCATGTCAAATTTTATCAGTTATTCAATATAATAATGCTTTTATCAAGCATAATATAAAAAGAAAGGATGTTGACGTGTAGAAAGATAGTAATTTGCACGTATCTTCTTTTTTTCACACCCTAGCAGAACGTGATAGACATAATACTAAAGAATTTGTAATAATGTAATAGATAAAATGCACAGCTAGAAGTTTCTAAGGAAATTAACCAAGAATACTGTGTTTTTTTTAGTTGTGTAATCACACAAAGTATATAGTAATGAGTTCCATTTCACAGCTTTAAGAAATAAAAGTAGTAGAAAATATAGAAGCAAAAGGTTATCTCTAATTTGATAGATGAAAAGAATGACGAAAATAATGAAGATAAAATTCTGAAAGCTTTTGAATTAATGAATCAATTTGTAGCGATACAAAGTTTATAACTCTATTTTATTTCATAACGAGATACAGCGATCCGATAAGAAGTTTCGAAGAATTTTTCACCATCTTGAGGGTGTGGATGAGGGTCCGGGTCTGGTTGTCTATCATCTTACAACCTACCGACACCCATCCATTTGACTTGGAAGTGGTCCCACTTGAAGATCAATTGATTTGGTATCACAGACTCATTATCCAAAACACAATTGTTGCCTATAGGATCAATTCGGTAGATTTTATCTTGGGCGAACTTCTTCCGACGAAAGTAGACTAAATCGATGTTACTAGGGAGAATCTTTATTTTGAATTCCAAAGTAAATTAATGGAATAGTTTTTTATGTATTTTTCTTCTATAGGTTCTCAACTAAAACGTAAAGATGAACTACTTGTACTCAAACGTCTTTTTCAATATAGTCTTCAAGATTGGAAAATTGTAACAATTGGAACGTTACTTTTATTAACAGCCGCTTTATGCAAGTACTATTTAATATTTATTTGAATGGATTAACTATTTTTTTATTTTTAGCTGAAGTTTTTGTTCCATTATATACGGGAAGACTTTTATCAAGTGTGGCATTTAAAGAAGCATGGGAACAATTTAGATATAATTTAATAATGTTTGTTGTTGTAAATTTTGCTGGGTAGGAGAAAAAGATATAAATAAGAAAAACAGAATTCATTTTTTTATTTTTCAGTGGTTTTCTTGGTGGATTTCGTCAGGGAGTTTTTGCAGTATGTATATCACGTCTTAGTATACGTATACGAACACAATTATTTGGAGCATATTTACGACAAGAAATTGGATTTTTTGATACAAATGAAAGTGGAAAATTACTTTCACGTCTTAATCATGATACACAAGTAATGAGTTCAACAGTTGCAAATAATATATCTCAATGTATTGGTGCATTAGTTAGATTTAGTAAGTTAAAAAATAAATATTGAACTATAACGATCGTTTATTTTCTAGTTGGTACAGTCGTAATGATGATTAAATTAAGTTTTCATTTAACAATAGCTTGTATTATTGGTGCACCACTTATATTAGTTGTTGCAAAAATATGTGGAAATATGCATCGACGTATATCAGAAAAAGTTCAAGATTTATCCGCTGAAGCATCGGAAATAGCTGATGAAACAATTCAAACAATCCGAACAGTTCGAAGTTTTGGAAATGAAGCCGAAGAATTAAAGAGATTTGAAAATACTCTTCAACAATCATATAAAATCTCACTTATACAAGCAACTCTAACTGCAGCACAAAGATGGTTCGTCGATGTAAGACATCCTATAGTTTTCAAAAGAAAAATTACGAAATCTTTTCATGATAAAAATATGTTGTTTACATCAAACAAGACCAAAGGACTAAATTAAAGGTCATCCTTCTTCTCAGAATTCCTATAATACGCATAGTTAATCTATCGATCCATAATATTTTTTTTCTTTTCATTAGTTAGCTCAATTATGTATGAGTATTATTATGCTTTCATATGGCGCTAAACTCGTCCGTGATAATTATGTAACTGGACCTGATCTTCTCGCATTTATTATTTATCAATTAACTCTTGGTGGAATATTAAGTGTAAATATATTTATTTTTAGAATAAAAAAATCTCTATTAAATTTTTTTCTATAGGATATTTCTCAAATATATACATCACTTATGTCTGCAGCTGGTGCAAGTCAATCTGTGTTTGATTATTTAGATCGGGAACCAATACAAAAAGTAAATGGAAAGTTACAACCCGATAAATTACAAGGTGATATTGAATTTAATAATGTTTCACTCGTGTATCCCGCGAGATCAGATGAAATTGCTCTTCAAGTATATTTCAATTAATTAGAATAAAATATAAAGAAATTATTTTTTTATTAGAATGTATCATTTAAAATCAAAGCAGGTCAAACATGTGCTTTTGTTGGACCATCTGGTTCTGGTAAGAAAAATCTTTTTTTTTTCGATTATCAAACCTTGATTTATTTCTTATTTGAAATATTAGGAAAATCAACATGTATTAATTTACTCGAACGTTTTTATGATCCAACTGAAGGAAAAATTCTAATTGATGGGAGAGAAATTCAAGAATATGATCATAAATATTTACATGAAAAATTAGCTATGGTTGGACAAGAACCAATTTTATTTAATCGATCTATTAAAGAAAATATTAATTATGCATTGAAAAATGCGAATGAAAAAGATATTATTCAAGCAGCTCAAGAAGCGAATGCACATGAATTTATAACTGAATTAACAAATGATTATGATACAAAATGCGGACAACGTGGTGGACATTTATCAGGTTAGTATTATTTTAACACAATACTTGTAGAGATTAATGAGTAAAATTTCATTCATGGCAGGTGGTCAAAAACAACGTGTATGTATTGCTCGTGCTATTATTCGAAAACCAAGAATACTTCTTTTGGATGAAGCAACTTCTGCATTAGATCCAGTTAATGAACGTTTGGTAAATAATTTTTCTTAAGAGCAAAAAAAAAGTATTCTTTTGTTTTTTATATTTAAATAGATTCAAGATGCATTATTTTATAATAATGAAAAACAAGAACAACGAACTGTTCTTATATCTGCTCATAGATTAAGTACAATTGAACGATGTGATAGAATATTTGTGATACATAAAGGTCATTTAATCGAACAAGGTACACATGATGAATTGATGACAATTGAAAATGGAATCTATCAAGAACTTGTTCGACGACAAAGAATGAACATTGATGATAATTAATTCGATATTTTTTTTATTTATTCAAGCATCTCTCTTTTCGATTGCAATAAAATATAATGTAAAGAAAATCTTGCAGATTTCTAATAATCAAATTACAAAAAATAACTTTTGTTTTTAGGTTATTATTTATAGTTTGTGGGTTTGGCCTACTAGTTAGATGAGTAGGAAATGAGATATAGAACTTATTATTGGAAATATGAGTCTTATGAGACAATCGTAATAATAACATTTCATGTTGTGAATCATATGAGAAATACATTTCTAAGAGTATCTATCTAGAATAAACATCTTATAATTTCTTCTTGTTTTGCAAATAGAATTGAATTCATGTAAAATAATAAATTAAAAATACATTGATTGATTGATCAATATATATTAATTCGTGAAATCGCCAAGAGCAATGATGTTGATTCATAATTATTGAATTTTGTTTTTCAAGTACTTCATTCAGTAATTGATGATATTATTTTTAGAATTATCAATATAATCGATGAATATTTAAATTCTAAACTAGATTTAATTAATTATTTCCTCGATAGGAGAATAGTGTTAACCATTAAATATTCTTAGAAAGTATCAGAATAGGATTTCTAATTACTTTCCTTTTCTGAATAGGAAGATCTGGTAACCTTGATATATATCGTACAATTGATTTAGAGAAAAAAACAAGATAGAACGTCTGCAGGTTAATGAAAGTAACTCTCGGAAACTTATAATTCCGGTCTAAAGTTACACCGGAATCACGTCATTATTCAATCTTCTACGTCGAGATTATACTATAGTTATAATAACAATAATAATACTACTACTTCATGCAAAAAAATCTAATATGAAGTTTTCATTAGAAAAAATTTTAATTAAAACACAATCGACTTATTATTTCAGATCTCTTTAATTATTTAACAAAGATATAAATATATACTTAATGTAAGTAATCTATGATTATATTTACCGATTTAGATAGGTTTCTTTCGTCTTCTACAGATTACAAAATAAAACATATTATATAGTAAAAATCTACTATCTTTCTCTAATCCTTTGATGACAAAGTTCAATACATATTTCATCGCCAGATTTTGAGAATTTCTCGGCATGTTATATCCATCATCATCATCAGACGGTTGATATATAATTATTACTCTTGACGTACGTTAATTCGTATATAATTACATTGTTTGTATGTATATATATTTAAACTTGTTGTGAATGATATATCATATGTTTACTATAAATCTTATTTATTATACTTCATCAGTTTTCTCTACATCTGTAACACATATGATAGAAAAATCATTTCTATCATAATAATTATTATGACCTATGTTAATGAATATTTAATTCAACAAATATTTAAAAACTGTTAATTAACTCAATAAATGTAAATAGATAGAATATTAGATGAGGATATTTTATGGAAATATATACTTTAATGAGTATATTTATATCTTTTTAAAATAACTAACACCGGATGAATATATATATAGTTATTTTCTTTTCACTCTATGACATACATGGGAAAGAATTTAATCTTTTTTTTTAAATACATTTGCCTGTGAAAAGATAGAATTATGTCATATGAATACCAGATGGCAATTGGAAGATAAGTAGACCTCGAAAATAAATCTTTGAATTTCCATGAGAATGAAGGATTTTTTCCTAGATATAAACCGCATAGAACAAATAGTTGTGAATTTTATTTTTATACAGGTGTTAAGTGACACTTCAAATGTAACATCGACTACTTTAGATTTGTTTTTATTCAATATTGGCATTAAAATAATGTACGTATTTAAGAAATATATATGAATGAATAATTTATTTAGATCTTATTTGCTTTATGAATGATGTTTAGATTGAGATTATTCTATTTTTAAAGTCAATTTAACGAAGAAGAGATGTGTTTTTTAAAAATACAAAAGATCTTTTTTTTTAGAAATGTTTTTCTTATAGGAAAAAAAGCCAGCCATTTCTGTTAATATAATCTTTTGGTTTATGTTATTATCGTATTTCTAAGCAACGTTTTTTTCATTAACAACTTTAAGTGCTACATATATAAATATAATAAAGAAAGTCATAGGATAGAATTTATAGATTAAGTTCTCCGTTCATTTAACAAAAAAATCGAATAAAATAGACAAGATCTGTTATAGACTAGAAGCTGATAATATTCTATATTATAAAAACTAGTTGCGCATAGTCACCCGTTAATAAGAACGAGCAAGAAATGTTTTATTCTTTTTTTTTTCACTAGTGATACTCGCACAAGCATTTGTGTTAATGTTCTCTCTCGTCCAAACTCCAAATAACAAACATAATTGGAGAGAGAGAGACAGAGACAGAGAAAAACCGAGAAGAAGGAAAAAAAAAGAAAGAAGAAGAAGAAGAAAAAGAAAAAACCTTAGTTTGTCAAACAACCGTAGACTTATACTCGTTCTTATGTGTTGTTGCCAACAAGTTTATACAAGCGTTTCATACACATTTACTTTAATAAATCATATTCGTTTATTATCACGAGCGATAGATTTTAACTGTTCTTAGAAGTACTATATATTCGTTATAAAAGATAATAAGATAATGAAAAATAAAATCTAACAAACTCCGACGAATCGAGACAATAAACATATGATAATTACACTATTGCCACTCAACTAATACCATTAACAATAACAATATATCTATATTCAATCTTTTTTTTTCCGACATCGGCAAAAGGAGAAAAAATTAACTGTAAGTGCACTATGTTTCTGACCTTGTATATGCTTTGGAATGAGAATGCTAGAAGGGAGGTAATAGAGTTAAAATAAAAATAAAAAAACAACAACAGCAGATGGTATTAAAGACATCATATTTCGAATAAGAAGAAAATATTTCAGTTTTTTTGCTATCTATTTATAAGATAAAAACAACAGTAAATATATCTAACTAATTCATTAATTTTATTTAATAAGTATTAATGTATTACTACACAGATGAGTAAAAGTGATAATTTAAATTAATTAATCTAGAAATATTAGATTTTTCTTTGAGACGGAAATCTATAAATAGTTCACACTTGATCATATTTGTTTTATGTGTCAAAAAAATTTATCTTTTATTTCAATATATTTTCGATTAATATTTATTATGTTTTCTTTTAATTTGATTTCGTAAGGTTATATCTATAATAATTAATTAGTTTACTTAATATTGCTTATTATAATTAATTCTTTCGATTGAATCTATATAAAACACGTGTTAAGGTATATGCATGTTTGTATAACCTATTTCTGAGGAATTATATATATATATATTATTTATTTGTTTTTTTCCTTTCGTGATGATAAAACTAATCATATAGAATATCTTTTCTCTTTTGTTACATTAAGTATCAATGATAATTTAATCGCCGATCGGAGATTATTCGTTGTCGAATATTAAAATCCAAGAAATTTATGAGAGAGAGAAAAACATGTCGGCGTTGATTTTTTTTTTATTTTTTAGCTTTTTGGAATATATAAAAGCAGTCATCAAGAAAAAACAACATACAATCTATGATAGTGTGAGTTGTATGATTACGTTCCACTAGCAATGAGTTCTCTAAAATGTCGTCTTCTATTCTTCTTCTTCTTCTTCTTATCGAATATTCTCCGAGCTAACGTTATTATTAATGGAGAAACAAGTTGCCGAGAAAGAAAGAAGGAAAGAGAATGAGACAGATGAGGAAAATAAGAGAATGCAATGCTGATTTTTTTGGAGGCTATGGATGATGTCGTCTCTTTTTCCTTGTATGAAACAAAAAATGCGAGCAGCAGAAGAAGATGATGATGAAGAAAAAAACGAGAGAAGAAGAAAAAAAATGAGAGATGATGATGATTGGCGAAAGATACTAATCGCAAAGACCACAGCAGCAGATAGCATAACGTATTGCCTGCGCATCGTGTCACATTCGATTTCCATTATATATCTCAATAGTAATGTCAGTTGTTGATCGTTTTTCTTAGATTCTGTCTATATAACACATCGTCATATAAATTTCTACCTTTTACTTATGTAAATATTCTCACCAGTCATTTAGTACGAAAAGCAAATCCTTGAAAAGTGTTTTACTTTTGTAAATGGAATAATACTTAACGTAAAACATATATATGTTTTCGTACATGTAAATATAAATTATAAGAAAACTTTTAAGTACTTTTCAAGTAATAAAAAAAAAGAATTTTATAAGTATACTTATTTCATATGGGTATTAAAAAGTACATCTAATCTATAGTTTATATAACATACATTCTCATTTGATAAAATATCTTAGAAGAAGAAGAAAAAAAAAGAAAAGTATATCTTCATTCACTTTTTTTATAATTACAGATCAAATAAATATGAGACATTTACTATATATTTACTTTACATTTATTTTTAATTAGTAATTCATTTTAGTATTTTTTTTATTCATACACTTGTTCGATTATATTTCGTCTTATCAAAAGCATTTTATTTCCTTTGAATATGTGCAGCAGGATTACTTTTACTTTATGTGTACGTATGTAAAATTGCTTGGTTATTACTATCTAACTAAGGTCGCTCAATGACCTTTCCAAGGCAACAACACATTTCTTTCTTCCTTTTTATATATATATGTCTTCATAAAATTACTAACAGTCGTTTTTTAAGATATAATTCTTTTTGCTTATAAATAGAATCTATAACTACGAATGATTTTTCCAGTTCGCCAGACGAGTTTATATATATTTATTCTCTTGATTAAGATCCAACTTTGTTGTTGATTAACGCATGCGCATATAAACATATTTATATATATATATGTGTGTGTGTGTAGAGTCTTCCATCTATTGTATTTTCTTTATTTTCTTTTCAATGATCTTTTAGAATTTTGTGTTGATATAGAAAATAAGATAGCAAACAAAAATAATGTCTGATCCACTCGGTGGACCTCCACCTTATTCGCCATTAGCAACAAAACGAGATCATATTACCTCAGACACATCATCAACATCTAACATTCCAATATCTGATTTTCGACGGAATGAAGCTCGACCAATAATAACTGATGATAATGGTAAATATAATCTTTCGTTCTTTAACTTTTTTCTATATATAAACATGTTATTTATATATTTAAATTCGGTCAGATCGACATAAATCGATATATCATCAACCAACTTTACCAACATATAATCCAAGTGAACAAAGACGTAGAAAACGTCATCGTCGTTCACGTCCATTAATTGAATCATCAGAAATGCCATTTAAAGCAATACCATCACATGAAAGCAATGATTCAACACATATTGGTAAGAAATAAAAACATATGATATTTTATTTTTCCTTTTTCAATAAAAGATAATCCAAGTGCACGTGTTCAATTTTTACTTGGTGATGAAGATCAAGATGATGATGATGAAGAACATAAACCACATGATTTATTTATTGAATTAAATGAATTAGTAACTGATGGAGAAAAACTTAATGAAGCAGGTGAACCAGTTGATCAAGGTTGGAAAGAAACTGCTAGGTAAATAAAATTTTATTTAACAGAAAAACAAAAAATATTGGAACCTTTTATTTAAGATGGGTAAAATTTGAAGAAGATGTCGAAAGTGGTGGTCGATGGAGTAAACCACATGTTGCTACATTATCATTACATTCATTACTTGAATTACGAAATTTTATTTCTAAAGGAAGTGTAATACTTGATATGCATGCTGAACAATTACCTGTTATGATTGGTAAATTAGAAAAAAAAATCAAAACAATTTGTTTTTATTGGGTTTTTATTTTTGTAGATATAATACTTGATGATTTGATTGCTAATGAATTATTATCACCAGAAAAACGTTCAATTGTTCGTAGTGCACTTCTTTTGAAACATGTTCATCAAGTTTGTTTTACATCAAATAATTTATTTTCTTCTATTAATTTTCTTTTTTCTGTTAAAATTTAGCATGAAAAAGAATTTCATCGACATTTACATGCACAAGAAATAAAAAAACCATTACCATTTACACGTTCATTAGCAGAATTTTCACGAAATCGTTCACAAAAAGATGTAACTATAACAAGTGTTGATCAAATAGCACCATCAATAGGTGCTAATAATTCAGCATCCACAGTAAATACTACTCAAACAGCAGGACACAATATTAAAGGTAAAATAAAAGTGTGATAAAAATTAAAACTAAATTTAAAAAGAAAATAAAAATTTGCTAATAGCAACAGGTGAAAATTCTCCTGAAAAATTTCTCTCAGGTATTTTTAGTAGTATTATTATATATTCGTGTGTTTTGTGTATGTGTATATATTAGCATCTATCATTTTCAGCCCTTTTAACACGATTTCACGGTGGTACACGAGTAAAATTACGTAATATTTCCTCTACTTGTGAGCTTCTATTACGTGGTAGGTAATTGCACATTAAAAAAAAATAATCATCCCACTGCATGAGAATGACAACACTTAGAAATAAAAAAAAATTAACGAATTAGATAATTAAATATAATATGATTTAATAAAATAAATATTTTAGTGGGCGGCGGAGAACAATCGAAGTCGAAAATTCATGAAAATGAAGAAACAACTGTTGGTTTAACAGCTGCAGAATCTCGTGCTAAAGTAAGATATGAAAATATTTTGAATTTTCTATAATTCGTGTGTGTGTTTATAGATTAATATGCATTTTATGAAAAAAGTTCCACCAAATGCTGAAGCTACAAATGTTTTAGTTGGCGCTGTTGATTTTCTTCAAACACCAATTTATGCATTTGTACGTTTATCGAAAGGTGTTACATTACCTGATCTCATCGAAGTTCCATTACCAACACGTTTTCTCTTCATACTTCTTGGACCATGTAATGAACATTTACGTTATCATGAAGTTGGACGTTCAATAGCTACATTAATGGCTGATGAAGTATGTATAGAAAAATTTGTTAAGCGAAATAAAAATGAATATTTTATTTTAGATTTTTCATGATGTTGCTTATCGAGCACGTAATCGAGATGATCTGCTTGCAGGTGACTAAAAAAGGTGATGTAGTTCAGAAATAGTCAAAGCAGAGTAGATGATGATGATTATTATTATTGAGAATGAGAGAGCGAGCGAGAGAAATATGAACTATGAAAGCAAAAAAAGCATGATGATATAAAAATATAAAATACTTTGAATTTAATTATTCTAGGTATTGATGATTTTCTTGATCATGTTACTGTATTACCACCTGGTGAATGGGATCCTAGAACACGTATTGAACCACCAAAAAGTGTACCAAATAAAGTAAGGCGAAAGAAAAGAGAGAAAGATTTGAACTAATTTTGAAAATAAAATTCTAGGAAGATCGTCTTGATAGAACAAAAATAAATGGTGTAACACAAATGAAAGAATCCGAACATGCAGAACATGAATTAGATCCATCATTAATGCGAACAGGAAGGTTAGAAAATAGAAAAATAAAATTACACAATGAATTATTATTTTATAATTAGATTTTGTGGTGGTCTTATTAATGATATTAAACGCAAAGCACCATTCTTTTGGTCAGATATCACAGATGTTGTATCATTTCAATCAGTTGCAGCAATTATTTTTCTTTATTTTGCTTGTCTATCACCCATTATTACATTTGGTGGTTTACTAAGTAAAGCAACTGATAATAATATGGTATTTAATAAAGAATTGAAAGATATATATATTTGTTTAATAAAAATATTTTTTAAGGCCGCAATTGAAAGTTTATTATCAGGTGCAATTTGTGGATGTTTATATCATTTATTTGCTGGTCAACCATTAACAATTTTAGGTAGTACAGGTCCTGTACTTGTTTTCGAAACAATTGTTAATACATTTTGCACGTATGAAATGACTTTTTATCTATTCAATAAAAGATTTGCTTCTTTTTATTAGATCTCATGGTCATGATTATATGAATTTTCGTTGTTGGATTGGTTTATGGACGGCAGCAATATTATTAATTATGGTTGTTACTGATGCAAGTTATCTTGTTAAATATATAACAAGATTTACTGGTTAGTTTTCATAATTATTGACTTGATTTCCTTATTATATTAAATAGAATTAGTTATCCGATTAATTGATTTTTCTTGATATAAACACTAACAAAAAACGATGAAGTATTTTCATTACAATAGCAAAAGGAAATCTGTATAATTTAGTCTTCTTTGATTAAAATCGATAGAGAAATTTAATTAGAAGATGTCTTGAATACGAAAGTCTTCATCTCATTTTTCAATATTAAGAAGCTCTATCGAATAAATCCGACTAGGTATTCCTAGATAAAATAGGCTCGATATTCATATAAGTCACTACTTGAATTTATTTTTAGAGGAAAGTTTTGCTGCACTTATTGGTATTATATTCGTCTATGAAGCATTTGATAAAATGATTGAAATAAATCAGGCTGTACCAGTTCGGTTACATACAACAGATGCATTACCATCGAATTGTTCATGTACACTATTCAATGGCACACAAATTTCAACTAATTCTACTCTAACATTAACTGTAATAATATAATTTGAAATTTTTAATAAATTTTTATTTTTTTCATATTTTTTAGGAATGTTATAAGAAACAAGCATATGATTTTGTTGGTTATGGATGTCAAAATATTAAGAGTAAAAATTATGTACCCGATGTATTTTTCTTTTCAATTATTCTCTTTCTTTCAACATTTGTTTTGGCATATACATTAAAAAGTTTTAAATTTAGTCGATTTTTACCTATGGGTGTATGTAAATTTATTTGATTTTATAATATATTCATCGTCGTTTTTATATTTAGATTCGTTCGAAAATTAGCGATTTTGGTGTTGTTTTAGCTATATTTATTAATGTCTTTTTTGATTACATGATTGGTCTTGATACACCAAAATTAACTGTACCACAAAAATTTGAGACAACAAAAGAAGGTCGAGGTTGGATTATAAATCCATTTGGAAAAAATCATGTTTATATGTGGTTAGCTGCTTTATTACCAGCATTATTAGCTACCATACTTATATTTATGGATCAACAAATAACAGCTGTTATTATCAATCGAAAAGAAAATAAACTCAAAGTAAATTGATTTTTTCCAAATACAAAAAAAATACGAATGTTTTTCTCTTTATTTTCCAGAAAGGATGTGGTTATCATCTTGATTTATTAATTGTTGCAGTATGTATTGCACTTAACTCTGTCCTTGGTCTTCCATGGTTTGTTGCTGCAACAGTTTTATCAATAAATCATGTTATTGCACTTAAACTTGAATCTGAAACAGCAGCACCTGGGGAAAAAGCGAAATTTTTAGGTGTTAGAGAACAACGTGTAACAGGTTTTATTGTATTTCTTTTTATTGGTCTATCGATATTTTTAACAAAATTTCTTGGTCTTATACCAATGCCGGTACTTTATGGTGTTTTTCTTTATATGGGTATATCATCAATGAAAGAAATACAATTAATATCACGTATATTATTAATATTTATGCCTGAAAAATATCAACCCGATTATGTCTATCTTCGTCATGTTCGAACACGTCGTGTGCACATGTTTACATTAATTCAGTTAACTTGTTTAGCTTTATTATGGATTATAAAATCAATAAAAAAAATCTCGATTTTATTTCCGATTATGGTTTTAGCATTAGTTGGTGCACGAAAAGTTATGGATTATATATTTACACAACGTGAATTAGGATATTTAGATGATGTTATGCCTGAAGTTGTTAAAAAAGAAATTGAAGAAAGAAAAAATAGTGGAATTGAAGAAGAAGATGGAACTAAGGTTTGTTTGAAATTATTTCCTGTATGACTCTGAAGTTTAAACAAGTTTTTTAATATAAAAAAAAGTTTCTATTTATCAAAAGTAAATAGACGCACTTGTCGAAGAGAAAAAACAACTAATTGAAAGCACAGACTATGTTATTTTCTCCTTGAATTGATTATTAGTAATGCATACTTCCCTACTTTCAAATTATATTTATCAAAGCTTATTGAACAATCGACTTTTATTTCTATAATATGACATAAACGGAAATTAATATTCATTCTTGTCTATAATCATTTTCTGATTAAATTTTATTTTTGTCTCTATAGACACCGGGAACAATAACATTTGATGGTGAAATTCGTATACCTGTTGGTGATGGTAAAGTAATGAAAGTACCTACAGAAAATGTTGAAGTAATTTTTGAATAAAAAATCTTTTTAATGCTAAGTCTATTTTATTTGTATATAGATAAATACGTCAACAGGTGTAATAAATTTTTCGGAAGAGGTTGGAAAAACATTTTTATGGAAATCAATTTCAAAAACAAAAGATAAAGAACCAGCAACACCAGATAGAAAAACTGCAAGTCAAAAACAACCAAATAGTGATAAAGCATCACGTAGTTCAGCTCTAAAGAAAAGGTTTGAATAATATATTATTCTATTTATTATTAATATTATTATTATTATTGTTTAGAATTCGTAAATTAAGTTTAAATTTTCTTGGTCCTGATGAAGATCGACCATTAGTAAATCCAACGAATGAATCTTCATCAAATCAATTTAATCAACAATTACCATCGATTGTTATTGAACAACCCGAAACATCATTCTCATCTGATAATAATGAACAACGTCGACGAACTAGCTCAACGACGAGCAATAATATTGACACAAAATTGTGATGAACAGTTTATTTTTTCTTGTTTGTTTGTTTGATTGTTTTCTTTCTTTCTTTTTTGAAATGGCGAACTTATTTTTACCCTCAGATAGTCATATCAAACAGTGATTATTTTTATTTAGTGTCACAAAACAAAATCCTTCATGACAAATAGCATATGTGTGTGTCTTTCTTCCTAAAGACAAAATGATATTAGAGTTCGACATGTATTCAAAACCCGGTCGGCATTTATTTTATCTATATATCATCATTTTTTTTTCTTTCTTTTCTTCTTCTTCCATTTGTTTTGTTTATATTAACTAGTGATAAACATTATGTTTATCATCATTTGTCAGTAGTTTATTTGCTTGTGTGAGCATGTCCGTATTTAATAAGTTTTGTCGTTCACTTTTATTTTTGTTGTTTGCATTATACTGATTACACTAACATTTTCGTTGTAAAGCTAAATGAAAAAAGTTTTCATAGAAAAAAAAATATACTAAAAAGAAGAACAAACTAATCAAATATGAATTAAACAGTCAAGTTAAGTGTGCTTCAAACTTGGATTTTACAGATGTCTAAGTTTTTGCAAAAAAGCTCTGCTTAAAACACTATAATCATCTGTTTTTGATTGCTCTAATAGATACTCTGGACTGTGTTGAATCGACTGGTGATGCTCAAGAAACAAAAGCACACAGTTACAAACTACAATTTGAAACTCATAAACTAACTTGATCGTATTAAGTAATGTATCCACATGCATGGAAATAATTACAATGTACTATTGTGAGATATATTGATTTTTTTTTTACTTTTAATGATCTCGAGTAGATGTTTTGTTCTTTCATTCATTTATTAAGAACTTATAGCCATTGAAATGATCCTATTGATCATTGTATGCATGCAAGAATTTAGTCTATAGAAAAAAATTCTAATAATACAAACATTTTTCAAGAGACTTTATATTGAAAAGATTTTTTTTGTTCGTTATTTATATTAAGAATTTTCTACTTGATAGTCCATGATAAGTAATTATGAAAAATCATATGTATTTAATTCTATTCCAGATGAAAAAACAGAATTAAAATCTTGCACGACACTATCTTTTCCACTTGATGAACATATTTATCTAATATGAAATTATTAATTATTCTCCAATGAATATTAATTCAATACACAAAGTGCTATGATATTCTAGGTTTAGCCATTTTTAAATGCATGACATAAATACATAGTTATCATTCGACAAGAAAAGAAAAACAAACGTGCCTATATTTATCATCAAAAAAGAAAAAACATGTTCTAACAAATACTATGAGTCAGATTGATTTGTTCCGGGTAATGGTCCGAGTATTTCAATATTTGTAATACGAATCATCGTCAATGGATCACGCCAAACTAATAGAAAACAATAAGAAAATTATTTAATCCAAAAAACAAGACAAATATTTACGAAAATGTCTTGCACCAACGCTTTTCTTTTTCGGTGCATAATAATAATCCATTTGAGTTTGTGATAATGTTTTCTCAATAACAATTCCTTCTACACGAACAAAATGTGGATTAAGAATTGGTCGTCCAATCACTGTAAAATCTGAACTACCAACAAGAAGAACCTTTTTCGAAATAAAAAGTTTAATGAAGTTTTTATTCAAATAGAAAATTTTTACTTTTTCAAAACGAATTCGATCACCAATTGTTGGATGAAATTCATCAACTTTGCAAATAATATCTTCTGTAGTTACTTTACGTTGTTCATTACCAACTTGAATAACAGCAAATAGTCGATTCTTATATTTATCATGTGTAAGATCATTGACTTTATTATACAATTGTTGAACTTCTTTGTCATATTGAATATTATCTTGAACTAATTTCCTAAATTTATAAAATATTTTTCTTTTGTTATAAATAAAAAAATGAATTTATTTACGGAATAGTTCGAATAAACATTTGTTGTGGTTGTTGAATGATTGATCTCTGTTTTACCAGTAGAGATAAACATCTTGATAATGTATTCATCTCAAAAAAAAACAAAGAATAAAATTCATTAACATCTGGCTTCGAACAAAATCACAATTATCATCGAATCAATCGTGTTTAGTTTGGTTTTTTTTTTGTTTATACATTATATGAAAAAAAAGAAGAAGGAGGAAAGAAATATAGATACAAATGAATAAATAGTCTTTATTGCACTTGTTAAAATTTTTAATCAATTTTCGTTGTAGCACCTATAAGATTTGAACCATCTTCACCAACTTCAAGAAATTGTCGACATTGGTCTTGTATACATTCACCCTTGGGTGTAATTAAAAAACGGGAATATGATCCATCGGAACAAAGAGCTTTAGAAAATAAAAATGAAAGAAAATGAGAAAATTAAAATAAATTAACTATACCAATCACTGTTTTATTTGCTTCGGAATTAGGACCAAAAGCACAAATACTACTCGTGTTTTCTGGTAGATGAAATTTGCAAGAACTCCATTGTGAATTAAAATATTTTGGTAAGAATGCAACAGCACTTTAAATGAAAAATATACAAAAAATTCTTCTGACAAAAATAAAAAACAAACCCTGTTGAACGTGTTCGATTTTTTTGTGATTCTTCTATATAAAAAATATGTACTGTTGAATGATCACTGGAAACACATAGAAGAGTGGAATCATGATTAAAATTTATACTAAAATAATTAAAATTTATTTAATCATAAAAGAAAGTAAATCTAACCAATAAATCGTTGCATGATGAGCACCACGTCTTAATTCGTTAACTAATTGACTTGTTTCGGTATCAAATATTCTTATTAATGTTCCCTATAATTAATAACTATTATATATTTATCAAAGAAAATCCTAAAAATACTTTTTCAGATGCAGTAGCTAAACGTGTACCAGACATATTCATAGCAAGATCTAGAAATTAAAGATAATGAAAAGAATTATTAAATAGAATTATTTACACATGATAGATGCTTCATGTGCTTGAATTTCAACAACAGGTTTTTCTGTTGCACCTAAATCAACTAAACAAACTTGACCAACTGTTCGACTTGGATAAGCAATAAATGATTTTGAACCCGATGGACAAACAACACAAAGACCTTATTAAATTCAATTAAAATTATTTTTTTAAATAAATCTATTTTTACCACGCGTATTTGTACATGTCTCAAAAACATGTAATTGTTGAGGATTTTGTGTAAATGTATAAACTTTGATCATTGTTTCGAGTACAACAATAATTCTATAACGAATTCTTTTTATAAAATATATATTTTTTTGTTTTCGTTTACCTATCTCGACGTAAACGAACACCTTTAACTTCTGTTGAAAATTCAAGTTCAATAACAATACGTTTTTTTGCATCATCCCAAATCATAACTAAAAAATTATTCTGTTTACTTATTTATAATATTAATAATCTACCTTTTGCTGGAGAATATTTTGGTGATTTTCCACCACCAACAAGTGCAACATAATTGCAACGAAATAACATTTCAACTTGTCCTATCCCACCATCGACAAAATCTAAAGAAAAAATAAAGATATTTCTATAAATAAAGAAGTTTGTTTTTACCTTGTCGTTGTGTTTGACGAAGTGGATCTGTGTTATAAATCCGAAAACCATTCTCAAGACCACAAGCAAAACAATCTAGATGGTTTTTTTTTATTATTAAATAAAGATAAGAAATTATATGAAAATCTTACTGGCATCTTGATTGAAACCAACAAAAAGAAGGCCATTTTTGGCTGATTTTACATTGAATAGATTCATGTCATTCAATATGACATGAGGCAATATATAGATCAAGTTTCTTGTTAAATAGTTTTTACTATCAGAAAAGAGTTAGTTAGTACGTGAGAGTGTGTATATACATATATCTATATTTGTTCATTTGAAAAACCAATCGAAAGAAAAATAAACAGATGTCATGTTATATAAGTCGTTTAATACTGCGGAACTTATAAGAAGAAGAATATAAACAGATAGAAATCTTTACATACTTTAATCATATTATGATAAGAGATCGATATCTCTCACCTCAGCTAATTATTAACAACACAAGATCTTCAGAGTATATGTCTATTCAAATTTACAGATCTTTATCCATATTGCATGACTATTAATCAATTCTAAAATACTAATAGAACTATTCACTGAACGACTTTTACTATATATAACTGAGACCTTGTTCGTTTTATGAATACATCTGTCAAACATTTTTATATGTTCTTACAACGAATTTTATAAATCATAGAAGATTGTATGATATTATGTAAGAGTTCAGCATAATAATTCTTTCTTAACATATTCATCTTGTATTGACGATATACAATTATTTTGTATATAATGAAAGTGTGTGTAAAATCTATAAGTGAGTACTAGTTAATGATAGAAAATCATATATTGATTTAAAATGTCATTTTATAATTAATATGAAAGTTTTAATTACGCGTTTGAATGATTCTATGGATAGGATACGAGCTCATATAGAATTCTTGTATGATATAAGAAAACGAGATGTTGAAAGATATTTGATTGCTGAACTCATCATTGTCAATTTAATCTGCGTATTTATCTTTGATAATGTGAACATAGTAATTAATCATAGGGAACATTAACATACAGTCCCTATACAATTCATTTATGAATTAAATAAATTAGAAATCATTTTGTATTTGTGTGCTAAAAATACAATTAACTAGACATTAAAAATCTTGTGTCTTTATACTATTTTTTCGGCAGTTATTTTCAAAAGAAATCATTTTAACTTTATCAAATGAATAATATGTCTCAAAGACTAAACAGAACATTTGCTAAAATATATAATCTATCGAAAGATGTCACTAGATATCGAATTTAATAAGTAGGAATCTGTATCGAGACCAGTTATGCAATTTTTTATAGGTTGAAATAACGTAAAATCTCGTGATTGAGAAAAAAATGATTCATTTACTATAAATATCATTTTATATTATCGTCTGTATACGTGTCAGCCGTTCCATACAAGTTAAAAACTCATTTATTCAATAAATATATATTTGTTATTACATTGAATAAAATTTTTACAAATGTCAACATCATCTTCTAAACAAGATGTTAGTGATGATGAATTTGAAAGTGCAGATGAAGGTGAACCAACATCTCCTATTGTAACCAAACCTCCAACTCCACCTCCACCTCCTACTATAACCAAACCTCTAACTCCACCTCCACCTCCTGTTATAACCAAACCTCCAACGCCACCTCCACCTCCTGTTATAACCAAATCTCCAACTCCACCGCCACCTTCACCATCTCCTCCTCCTCCTCCTCCTTCTAATCCAATTCGATCAACTATTATTGACAATCAGGTGCAATCGAAATCTATTTCATCACCAGTAACTGATGGTTGGGGTGATTGGAATATTGACGATGATGAACAACCAATTGAAATTTCCAAACCATCACAACCAGATTCAATATCTTCACGATCATCATCACCTTCAAAAACAGGTGGTAGTTTATCACAAATTGGTTCTGATGAAGATGATCAATCGGAATTAGCTAATCAACAACGTTTACAACGAAAAAAATATCGTAAAAAACAAATGGAATCAAATTTAAATAAAGAAGAAAATAAAATAACTACACATGCAATACCTCGTCCAACTGAACGACAAGATGAAGAAATATCATCAATACCAACAACGACAACAAATAAACATAATGCTAAAGATGCATATCATGTCTTAGATCGACTTGCTGATCAACCTCAAACACGAGCAGTAATTTTAATAAATATTTTATTTTAAAAAAGAAATTTTCATTGTTTTTATTTTTAGCCAACTTGGCATAATCCTTGGAGTAATTTTGGATCATTTTTATCAAATGCGAAACAAAGTGTTACAACATTAACAAGTACTGTTAGTAAGTATTCGTATAATTTCAAATATCGTTTTATATATATTTATTATTTAGGTGAAGGTTTTAGTGCAGTTATAGAATCCGTTGAAGCTGGTCTTGGTGCACCTGATCCACAACAATTAGCAGAAATGAATCGAATGGCTTTTAAAATTAAAGGTGAAACATCAGATAGTGAAGATGGTATGTTACAGAAACAAAAAAAGACGATTTTTATCTGATAGAATTATTTTTTAGACCCGGATCCATCAACTATTTCAACAGAAAAAGTCGATTCAGTTACAAATCAAGATGGTTGGCTTAATGCATTAAGTTTAGATAAATTAACAACGACCGTATGTACAAATTAGATTTAATACATTTTCTTTTGAATTTTCTTTTAAAAGGGTATGAAAGTTGTTTCCGGCAGTCTTGATGTTCTTGAAACTGTTGGAAAAAAAACATTTGACGTATGTTGTTTACAAATAAAATAAAATTCTTCTTTTAAGATTTCCGTTTTTTTTTGTTGTATAATAGGTTATTAATGAAGCTGATCCTGATTTACGAGGAACACGACGTTTATTAAGTAAACAAAAACAACCGACACTATCTGAAGTAAGTTTTTTTTGTTTCTATTGAAATTAACATCAGTTTTTCGTTTTTAGATAATTCGTGAAGCAAAAAATGAAAAAGGCAATGAAGTAATTGTAGTAAAAAAAGAAATGGCAACATTTTTACACTTATTCGAAAAACATGCAGGTAAAAATTTCGAAATAAAAAAAATTAATTTTGTTTTTTTGTTGTATTTAGGTTTAGCTCATTTTGAAGCACTTGAATTATTATCAAATCAATCATCATTTGTCTTACAAACAATGAAATCAGGAAATGAAAATGTACTGGAACAAATTGAAACTTACTTTCAAATCAATGATGAAGAAGATAATGATGAAGATATCGAAATTACTAATAAATTAAATACTCTAACAACAAATGATGATCATGATAATAATCAAATACCAACTTTAGATATTTTATCACAAAAATTTACAGCATATCAAACACAATTACGTTCAACAATATCAGTCGATAAACTTCTTGAAGTTTATGAATCAGCTAATGAATTTATTAAAGAATGGGATTGGATGGATACTGAATTAGATCAAAAAGTAACGAACAAATAAATTTTCTTTGATGAAAAATATTTTTTTCTTCTATTTAAGACATTAGCTGATGAAGCTATTGATTGTTTAGCTATATTATGTGCACGTATTATTGAATATTATCGTAAAACAGCTGAATTATTTATAATGGGTTGTAAAAGTTTAACATCATTTTCAATTGATATTGAATTATTAGCTATTTATGAAAAACAACAAAAAGATTTTTCGAATATGCTTGCTGGTATACCAAATTTATTTGCTAAATATATGAAACAAGTATCAAATATGTCACCAAATGGTACTGATATACCAATAAGATGTGATGGAAAATTTAAACAAAAACTTCTTAATCAAATGTTTATTCAATCATCTAGTTCACAAACATATGCTTCGGATGCATATCTTTTACTTAAACCTATTGTTAGTCAATCAATTTTATATCATACATCAACAACACGATAAAAGAAGAAAGATATTTTGTTTTTGTATATTGATCTATTCAAAGTCAATTGAATATCGGTTTTATATATATATATATATATACATATGTATTCTTTTTGCTTGTGCGTGTGTGTGTGCATGTAAGGAAAGAAATGGATATATTATTTTATAATCGGGTTAAATATATTTCATAATTTATAGAAAAAAAGGACAAGGTTGAAAAAATAAATAGATATTCGTTGATGTTCATTTATATAGAAGAATAAAATCGATTCATAAGAACATGAATCAATATCTTGTTATACTAAACGGCTTATTTTTATTCATAAGAAGTTGTTATCATATATATATACTTTGTTTCTTACAGCTGTCAGTTAATTGCTTGTTTGCAAACGATTGATGTATGTTGTTGTTGTTGTTTTCTTATTAGTTGGCACCTTGAAATAAGATTCCTTCAAGAAAAAAAAACTAATGAAAGATGTATGTTTAAAATTAGACAGCAATCATTTCTAATTCATACAAAGTCGAGAATGCATTGGACCTGTTTAGTGTTAGGAGTTATTCTTATTTTAACTGCCATTGATTTAGGTAAGTACAAATCAAGATAATGAAAAATATTAATTCACAAAATATGATGTATAGATTCAGCATCTAAACATCATCGAAATCGTGGCGGTAAAGATGATCAAGAATCATTACTTGATAAACATGAACGTGAAAAAGAGAAAAAAGATCGAAAAAAAGATGAAGAAACTAAAAAAGGTAAAAAAAAACATCGAAGAGATTTATAAAAAATTCAACGCCCATTTTATTATATAGAAGAAAATCGAAATATAACATGTTATAAATGTGATGGTGACCTTTGTCGAGATCCATTACAAACAGGATATGCCATACCAACAGTACAATGTGAACATAGCTGTTGGGTATAAAAATAAATATTTTATTTTTTAGTTAAAAATGACTAAAATATTTATTTGTTTAAATAGAAAGGTGTTTTTGTTTCAAGTGTTCGTCGATCATGTGGCAATAAACGTTGTGGATTATCATTTCAAGGAAGTTCAGCTATAAGCAATACATGTTGTCAAACACCACTTTGTAATAAAACTTCAATGAAAATACCATCAATTATGTTTATGCTTTATTCATTTATTATCATTATTCTAATATGAATTTGCTAAGAAACATAAATCTTCTTTCTTTTTTTGTTTATTTTGTTCGTTCTTATTAATAGAATATACTTAAAAGTAAAAAGAGAACTTTTTGTTTCTTTTTTGCATTTGAATTTTTAATAATACGAAAAAAAAACATCAATAGTCTTTTCTTTTTTCGTTGATAAGAATAGTTAGTTCATTTTCTTTTCACAATTTGAGTATCATTCAACTTCTAAACGAAAAAGAAAAGAAAAGCAATCGAACAAATGTTGCTAGACGATAATAATGAGCAACAACAATCAACAGATTCATTTCGTTGTACATCAACGTAAGTCGTTCAATATATCATGTTACTTTTATATTAGAACAAAAAAGAAACAACTGTTTTGTTTCTTTTCAAATTTTTCATCTTAACTTGAAGTACACTAAGTAACTTGAGCTAACTCTATTCTAAAATAACAAATACAAAATTTCTGTTTTTTTTAAATAGTAGAATTTATTTTTTTTTCTTATATAGTTATTTGTCAAATGAATATTTTCCACAAGATGATGAATTTGGTGATGAAATAATGAATATGTCGAAAAGTTTACATATGAATTCACCTGAAGGTAAAATGTATGATAGTGATATAAATAATGAAAATAAACGATTACAAAGAAAATTATTAATTGAACAATTACATTCGCAACTTATTCATAATCAATTACAACGAACACAACCAAGAGATTATCTACGTATATTACATCAATCAAATACACCAGCATATTGGTATAAAACACCTACACCCTCACGTTCGGTTTATTTTTATGATCGAAATTATCAAAAACAAATTCAACAACCAGTTACTACAATTGAAAAACCAAAAGTTAATGTTAAAGTAAGTTAAAGATATCATTTTATCTTTTTCTATACATATATTTTCAGCCTGTTCAATCAAAATCAATACAAACTCCAAGAAGTTCTAGTAAATATTCAAGTTTTGTTCAGAAAAGTTCTCTCTCAATGTCACCTCGTCCAAAACAGACGATAGATACACATCGTATTACTACTACGAAATCTTTTCCATTAAAACAAAGTTCATGTGAACATTATCATCCACCATCGCCAAATTTTTCTCAACGATATCCTTCTGCTCAATCACGATTCTCAACATTACTACCTATTAATATTATTAAACAAGAATATAATTTATTAAATATAAATGAAAATGAAATTTCAAATCATCAACCAATTATTAATGAATCAAGAAAAACATTAAATCCAATCGTTGTACCTTCAGCTTCATAATGAATAATATAAGGATAGAGATAACAAAAAATTGTGCAATAGAATTCTAGAAATATACTATCATTGATTTCATAAGTTGTGTTTTGAGTGTGAATACATGTATAAATAAAGAAACAAAAAAAAATATAATTTGTAATGTATGATAAGAAATGAGAGCAAAAAGCTTACGACACTCGGTATTCCCAGGCGGTCACCCATCCAAGTACTAACCGAGCCCGACGTTGCTTAACTTCAGTGATCGGACGAGAACTGGTGTATTCAACGTGGTATGGCCGTAAGCATATGTTAGTAGATATGTTGGACATTTTATAGTTATCGATCGGATTCATATGCACAAATTATATTAATAGTATTGTCACATTAGTCATCTATAATTTAGTCTATAATTGAATAATGTTCTATTGAAAAGTTAGTATAATAATACTAATGAATTATCCATTAAATGTGAAAATCGTTATAAGATGAAAATAAAAAATTCATTCCTTTAGTTACCATAAGACATTAAATGTATTTTAAGTTCTAATAGTCATTAATGAGATAATGTAAAATAAGAATTATTAGTACTAACGATCTAATAAATTTTTATTATGATAATATAATGTTCAGAAGAATAAATTCAATATCGATCATAAACAAATATTTATATTAGAACAACTAAATAATAGAAGTTCATTTCTTTACGCATCATTGCTATTTTGTCTGTTTTTTTTTCTCTTCATCAATAAATAAACTTTATTTGTTCAAGGATATTTTGTCGGTTAACATTTACATTATTTGTCAAGTAGACTTAGTGAAATATTCTTCATCTTCTTCTTCTTCTTGAATTTGCATTCAATTGACGGGTAAATTTCATACTGCATCTAATCAACCTGTCTCATTGTCACTTGTCTTTGTCATGAACACGACATAAAAAGAGAAAACGTACAAATAAATTTGCATTTTTTTAATCTATTTCTTTACAGAAATCACTTTTGTGTGAAATACATATATATATACAAACACAAAAGACTATATACTATGCTGTCAATTGCATCATTTTGTCCCGTCGTATAATTACTTATTGTATTTCTTTATATATATATATATATGAAAGTCAATAATAAACAAAAGGTGTTCAATAGAATAATGTAAAATGAGCCCAAGCGTGATTTTACATATATAGTATATGTATATGATCACCGTCCCATCATAATACTTCTTCAATGTTCAATTTCAGTGTGAACAAATAGTATTCTGATGGACAAATGTATGTCGTCTATCACTATATATATATATATACAAGTAAATGATCGATGTTTATGTTAGATTTATACAAAAGGGCGAGAATTAGATCGAGAATCATTGAATTTGTGTGAATAAATGTGAATTGTTAGAAATTAGTCTGTTGTCGCTTGAGTAATTTTCAATACATCGAAGCGTCTCAAGTGGCTATAAGATGACCATTCTCCATCATCATCACCATCATCATCGTCATTTGCTTTATGCATGCTTGTTTAATTATAGTGATTTGTGACACATTGAGTTTTTTTTTCTCATATTAATTCTATGAATACTTGAATAGAACGAATCAGTATCTGGAACAAAAGCTTTTACGAAGAATCTTTATTCAAACAATACGGATGCATGCACTATAGACAGATGATTTTCTTCATCTGTCTTCTATTCTTCTTCTTCGTCTTCATTTTTCTTTTTGAGCACGCTATTACCATCATCATATAAAACAACGCAACAACAAGGAGTATAAATGCGCGTGAGCATCATCACATGAGTAGAGTAAAAGAAGAAGAAGAAGATGTAAAGCATAAGGAAAGAAAAAGAAAAAAAAACGAGAACGAGAACGAGAGAGAAAGAAAAACGATAGAGGAAAACAACAGCAGCTGATTGAGAGCTAACGCGTGAGGCGTATTTTTTTCGAGACGTGAGTGAGGCATTGGCGTAGTTTTTTGCGAGATGAAGGATATTGTTTTTTTTCTGCGTTTCAGATGCTCAAATAAACTACTTCTTCTTCTTCTTTTTCCAAGAACAGAGACAGAAATACAAATAGTCGACAAGATTTCGCTATCATTAATAACAGTAAAAAAGAACAACAAAAATATTGACGACAACTAAGAAAAAAGAAAACGACGCAGAAGACAATATTACAAGATATAGTATAATACTTTCTAATTATTTCTTTCTTTTTCCTGTATGTCTCTATCTTTCTTATTCTATTAAATCAGCGCCAAATATTGTCATTATCTACGTGCCTGTATTGAAATTGCTCTCAAACAGTGTATATGTGACTTTATATAACAAGTAAATTTGTTCTTTATTTTTCTTTTCTTTGTACATAAGGATTAAACAACATTTGTTGGTTTAAAATCTCATTAGAATTTAATACTTTTTTTCTTTTTTTTTTCTTCACCTCGATGTCTGATCTAGTGATTGTCCATAAATGAATTCTAACAAGGTCAAACGTTTTCGAGCATTTCTCCTTACTCTGTCTTTCGTTTGAAAGGTGTACTCATTTCATCACCAATTCAACAAAAGTATAACACTTAAAAAATGAATGAGGCAATAGCAAGCAGCTAACACAAGGTTATACAATTCTTTTTCAAGTTTCGACCACGTTTATTGAGCAACTGTCAAATTTTATACTAAGAGACATGTATTGACCTTGATTACTTGAAACTATCTGGAGATGTAAGACCACACCCCTTGATGTATATAGAAATGAATAAAATCATTATCAATACATAAAATACAAATTGGATCATCCGAATATAGTAATGGAAATATTGATAATAGACCACTTTATATTAATGTCTCTATGTATCCGTCTTCCGTCTTATGTAGTACGCATGAAAAAAAAGTTGTTCGACGAGGTAAAAAAACGAGCGAAGCAGCGTGGAGAAAGAGTCAGAGAATGAGAAAAGAAGTAGAATGAGAGAGAAGAGAGGAAGGCATGCAAACACATATATACACACGGGGAACAGTGTCAATCCTATTCTGTCGTTTGCCTGTACGTCGTCACTACAACTATATTGCTAACGTCGTCGTCTTTTCTAATCATTATTACTTGCGTGTGCGTGCATATAGTCACCAAAAGTTCTCCATATCTTTGTTTCTTATATGAATAATAATAACAAAGAATAGCCTAAAGGAAGCGCAGGAGTAGAACTCCTCCATAGTACTGTTTTTATTTGTTATATATCGTTTTCTTTTCCATACATACACATTAAATTCTTCCGCAACAAAACTCCCTATTTAATTAGTCAGCTAACTAGCAAGAATAATGTAACGCAAATCATAGGTCGCGATGTCCTATGACAAAAAACGGAAATGAATGATGGAACATATTTTCTTTAGAAAAATGTTTCGTCATTGTTCCATAAGAAGTAGAATTAGCTCGTTGTGTAGAAAAAAAGAAAGAAAAACTTGTAATCAATGAAAGAGAACAAAATTAGCGTTGTATTGTGACAACATCAAGGTTAGTATTTATCCTTGATGATGGTCTCATCTTCGTTCTTTTATCAATCTGTCTATAGATTGTTTGCGGTCAATTTGTCTCCTGAGGGGATGTTGGAGGAAAAGAATATAGAGCCACTTCAACCGTCAACTAAATGTCAGTTGAACCATAATATCGATGCATGCTTAGATCTCTTACGTAATAAACTTTTCTATATACACATATGTGTACATTCATGCAAAACGATTGACGCAAATATTTGACTTTTATTCAAGTAGTAGTAGTTATTTTTTTTCTTGTATTAACAAAATCCTTGATTTTGATTCTTAAATAAAAGATAATTCTTGTTCTTTTTTTTTTATTCTAGACAATTTTGTACGTAATTATATTTGGACGGTTCTTCAATCAGATCCGTCGTTATTTTTCTTCAAGTTATATTTATTATTAAATCATCGTGGTGGCAACTTGTTGGACATTTCTTTCTACCGTAAGTTATTTTATGCATTTATGCTAATATTGTGCATTGACAAAGAAAGAAAAAAAAGATAGATATCTTTGTGTCTCGTCAACGATTATTTAACTCTGTGTATCACCTGCTGATGTATTCTTTTTTTTCTCTTATCAAAGTTTTAAGTAAATACTGTGCAGCATTTTTTATACTCTATCATCTCATGTACTGAATATTTAAACGATATTATTCTTCAATATGTATGTATTTAGATATATCAGTCATTCTATATATAGAAGAATTTACGATAACAAACTTTTTTATTTTAGTCTTATTATTAGAGTTATGCAAGGTACTCATCATTATCGGATTAGAGAGAGCTTGGAATAATATAAGGGGACATAGCATATTTATATATATATATATCTAATAACTTTTGCATGCGCCACATTGATGAACATACATCCGTATTTGTTCGATTGCGCAAGGAGTACAAACATAGATCAATAATGGTGTTTGATGGAGAATAAGAAATGAAAGAGTATGAATTGGATACGCTCGATGGTTTTTTTTTCTTCTTCTTTCTCTCGATTTTCTTTCTTTTCTATTGCTTACAAATAAGTTCAATGATCGATTGAATCTATGCAATTGTAATATATGTGTATGGTCATCAAAATTCAAGTTGTTTATTATAGGTGTAGATCGAGTGTGATGAGAGATGACCGAACAGGGTCGACAAGCAAATAAGTGCTTGTGTCTCGTCTTCAACTTTTGATGTTATCTTTCATGAGTGAATAGAAGAATGTGAATAGTTATTATATATATATATGATAGTCAAACATAGGAGAAAGTTGCAAATATAATATTGAAGAAGAGATTGACCTTGTAGAACAATATTCTCATGAATAAAACTAATTCATATGTTCTTTTTCTACCATGATGAAGAAAACTAGGACTTGAGACGGGAAATCATTAAAATGATGAATAAATCAATAATGGAAAAACACACGTGGCATCCGTCACTTAATTTTCTTTGATGATGTTCATGAGGTCGATATAGTCAGTTCTCTTTCCTTGTTCCTATCTATGTCAATCATTAACATCTATAATGAATTTCCTATTTTTTTATTTTGTTTATTATCTCTTCTTTTTTGTTGCTTTAGATCCGTCAAAAGATGGTAAAAAATAGTCATCATGGAGGTTCAAAAACGCTTGGTAAATTATTTCAATATTATCTACCAGCTAAAACACATCGAACTTATTCATGTCTTCATTGTCGTGCTCAATTGGCTAATCATGACGAATTAATATCTAAAGTAATCTTACAAAAAACTTGTATATATATCTATATATAGAGATCTTTTTTTAGTCATTTCAAGGTAGTCAAGGTCGCGCATATCTATTTAATTCAGTGTATGTTATTTCTTATATATACATATCTATATCAGTTGTATATTTATCTTAGTGTAAATGTAAATACAAGTGCTGCTGAAGAACGAGTTCTACTGACTGGTTTACATGAAGTAGCTGATATATATTGTGAATGTTGTAAAACTTTACTTGGTTGGAAATATGTAAGTATTCTTTTTATTTTTAAATATAGAAAAAGTATTTATTTTTCTTCTTCTATATAGGAACATGCATTTGAATCCAGTCAAAAATATAAAGAAGGAAAATATATTATTGAACTTGTACATATGATAAAAGATAATGGATGGGATGCTGAAAATATGAATCAATCAAAATATTTCAGAAAATAATTTATTTCTCTATTGAGACCCGCGTGCAAAAACAGTGATGTTAACAGTTTTTATTCTAAACAAAAAAAACACAAAAGCTTCTGTTTCTGTTCCTATTTATCTAGTCATCTTTCCATATATATATATACATATATTATAGTTATCGATTAGTATTATTATTTGGTTGAGTAGAGAAACTATCTAGACAAAACGAAAAAAAAGGTTAAAAGAATTTCTTCTATTAATGATAATTTGTGCCAATTTATTTTTATTAATATCTTTTGTATATTATTTGTTCTTTTCTTTGCATTGTTACTTTTATTTGTGTATATATATATATTGATGTATATTTAATTTTTTTTTTGTTCATTTTAAACATATAGTCTATAATTATTTTTTTTTTTGTTGCTCGAAGAACAATCGTGAGCTTCTTTTGTTTGTTTGTTTTCATTATATTCATTGTTCGATGTTAATTTTGGTAAAAGAAATCTATACAGAGTGACTATGATGACCGTGTGAGAAAAAAAAAAGAATTTCTTTTCTTTAATGGATAAAGATGGATGTCCTCGAATTGGATTAAGTAATCAATGATAAGAAAAAGATTTGTATGTTGTTGTTTGATATGAGAAGAAGAAAAAAAATGAGAAGATTCTATAGGTCATGCTTCTATAAGATAGATTACCATATGTAAATAAAACACTTATATATTCACAAGAGAAATTGTAGGAAAATACGTGCGAAGGACAAATTTTACTTGAGAAATAATAAATGATCTTTGTAATTAAGTAAATATTGAATGAATTTTTTTTTATAAGATTATCGATAATGCATATGGATTTGTATATTTAGTTTCGAAAAAAAATGAGATCTCTTTGTTAATAGTGAGAAAAAATAAGAATCTATTGTTGCATATATAATTTAATATTATATTGAAGATGATAATAAAATTATTTGTATTAATATTTTCAGGAATATTTATATTTTAAATTAGAAAAATTGTTTTTTCTTCTGATATATGACATTAAACTATTCCCATATTGATAGCATTTCCGATTTAATATTTCCAGCTGTCGGAAACGAGATTTTATAAATAGTATGAAAGACATGTACATAATTGTACAACGAATAATTCATCATAAAGAAATATTTTATTGTATATGCCGTTAACTCTAGATGGAGTAAGTATCCAAATAAGAAAATATTATCTTTATCTTACGAAAAAGTAAAACACGACTGGCCTATTCAAATTAACTTATGTCTATGTTTACGAATACAACATATATACTTCCAAGAAATAGAACAATTTTCAAGGACAAACTTTTCTTAATGTATTAGTAAACATGAAATAATATTTATAAACTAATACATATTATTTTTAGATGAAATTTTTTTCATATTATTCCTTTCATATAATCTCATATCGTTTTTTCACAGCTCCTCAAATTCGAAAAGTGGCGTCCGTTTCTAAAACAATCTCAGATCGTTATCAAGTTTGAAAATTAAATAAAGAAAGAACGATTTTTTGTATAATTTTATTTCAGGAAGCAATTGTAACATTAAATGCTTTACAAACAAATCAACTAAAATTAAAAACAACTGAACGACGTGGAAAATCCATGAATGATATTCTACGTTATTTATCATATCTTAACGTTCAGGTGAACGAAAGATAAAAACTCGAGGTAACAGCGTTGTAAGTGTGAACAAATCTAATGTTGTTCTTATGCATGATACTCTGTATGCCTCGAATGAATTTTAATAATGTTTTTTTGAATCAAACTTTTTAATTTATTTTCTTTTTTCTTACAGTTGGATCATATTGATCAGCTTAATATAATTCATGTAGCAGGTACAAAAGGAAAAGGATCGACATGTGCATTTACAGAATCAATTCTACGACAATATGGTTATAAAACGGGTTTTTTTAGGTACAGAAATTTTTTTCTTTTAGAATAGATTATTTTCAATAGAAAAGAATTTTAAGTTCACCACATTTAATCGAAGCACGAGAACGAATTCGTATTAATGGGAAATTAATATCAAAGGAAAAATTTGTTGATTATTTTTGGCAATGTTATAATGCGATATGCAATGCTGTTCAACAATCAACTGAGAAAGTAATTAGATTAAAATTATTTTTTTTCGATTAAGATTCAAATTTTCCGTAGATGAGAGGGAAATATTGAATTTTCATCTATTTGAGTATAGTCGAAGAGTTGATTATATAGACATGCTTGTGAATCATCAGATCAAAAACTGTATTTTTATTATTCTAGGAACCACTTTATATGCCATTTTATTTCTCATTTCTAACAACAATGATGTTCTATGTTTTTGTTCATGAAAAGGTATAAAATTCTTTTTTGTTTCTTATTAAATTATGAATTGTTCTTCGAAGATTGATGTTGCTATTATCGAAGTAGGCATTGGTGGAGAACTTGATTGTACAAATATTATCAAGTTTGTTAAATTTTTATTTCTTCGAAAATTTACATTTTTTGTTTTGCATATATAGAACTCCAATCGTATGTGGTATAGCATCATTAGGTTTAGATCATGTTAAAATATTAGGGAATACAATTGAGCAAATTGCTTGGCAAAAAGCTGGAATATTTAAAAAAGATGTTCCAGCTATCACAGTACCGCAAGTACCAAGTGCTATGGATGTTTTATTTGAAAGAGCTAAGGAAAAACATGTAAGAAAAACTAAAAATTTAAATAAGATCGTTTGTTGTATTTTTTACTAGTGTCAATTAACAATTGCACCATCATTAAATCATTATTCAAATTATCCATTTTCTCTTTCACTTGCTGGAGATATACAAGAAATCAATGCATCATTAGCAATACAATTAGTTTTTCATTGGTTAAGTGCTCGAGCAGGTTAGTAAATAAATAAGATTTAGATTCTTTAAAAAAGATTTATGATTTACTTTTAGGAAAATCTTATAATGAACTTCTCGAATCACCATTGAGTAAAGAAATTCTACAAGGTTTAGCTACATGCCGTTGGTCAGGTCGTAATGAATTAGTTACTACGAATACTGCAACATATTATCTTGATGGTGCACAGTAAGTTAGATTGAATAAAATCTTGATTAGATTTTAATTATTTATGTTTAGTACTACTGAATCGATTGAACAATGTAAAAATTGGTTTATGAATTCAATATCAAAACAACAAACACCAACAAGAAATATTCTTTTATTTTATTGTTCAAATGATCGAGATCCAGAAGTATTACTTCAACCTTTAATGGTAAAATTTTTATTTTATCTTTTATTTTGTTTAATGAATATACATATATAGACCTGTAAATTCGATTGTGTTGCTTTTTGTTCACCAGTAACATCAATGACAATTGATGGTAATTCTCATACAGACACCAAATCTAATAATGGTTATTATTAATTATTTGTTTTTGATTTTTAATTCTATTTAATATTTTCTTATCTATAGATCAATGGCGAGCAAAAGTAGATATGAGTGGTGAAATCGGACGTCTTTCATTACATGTAGCTGCATTTGAAAAACTTTGGTTATCAACATTAGAAAATCAAACAAACATGCCATCAATACATTGTTTTCATACAGTATCACAAGCATTAGCATGGATTGATGATAGTAAATCATTAAAACCATCTGTTCTTGTTACTGGCAGTCTTTATTTAGTTGGAGCTGTTTTAAAATTACTTGATGGAAACGATAATGATGAATGAAAAAATTCTTCGAAATAACTTCCGAAACTGATTTCTTTTTGTTTTGAAGTGATTTTTTCAAAATAAAAGTTAATACTGATTATAAAAACAAAAGAAACGATCATTAACGAATATGTTTGTAGAACCATATTGACAATGGTATTACTTTGAATTGACCTTTTCTTCAGTCTATTGAATATATTTAAACAGGATTGAGAATTATTAGAGTTTTGAAGTTATCTTCGATATAGATACTTGAGTATTTCATACATATAACGTGTATCATTTGATATTCTTCACTTGTTTCAAACAATAAATATGAATATTTCAATATTTTAACTATGAATTTAAGTTATATAGAGGTCGTTATATATCATTATTTGAACTAAAATATAATTGGAGATTAATTTTGTTTTGTTTCATTGGTCATTTGAGATAAAACACATTAGAACAACCAATACAAATCTTTCAATCATTTCTTTTTCCTTTGATTAAACTGTTCATGTTCAGCATATTATTCTACTTTTTAAGAAATGCTTCTGTTGTTTTCTAAAAATTCTATTTGACAATTTCTCATAAGGGAAAGAAAAAGAAATCATTACATAATTATACAACAAAAAACAAGCAGTCTATAATACTAAATTCAATGATTCGTTTTCAATTTTAGATCAATCACACTCATCAAATAGGTATTTTTATCAACTTCGTTCTTATCATTACTTTCAGTAATAGTGAATCATACATTATTTTCAATATTTAAAGAAGTGAAACAACTTAGATAGATCAAGTTTTTCATTCCGCAGACTATCTATTGAATTTTGAAACCATTTTAACACTCTATTGTACATAACAAAAGTCAGTCATCTACCTCTGCTAGTAGACGATATGTAATACGTCCTGTAGAAACTCCAAAAATATATGTAATACATTTTTTATCAAGAAATTTATTTTCATTTAGATTCAAAGAAGTTTTACTTTTCAGTATAATTTATCTGAAAAGAAAAGAAAAGAAAACGTAAGCGCACATTTTAATCATATAAACAATGTGGAAGAAAATCTTTTATTTAAGATCTCCATGGAAACATTAGCTCCAACAGCACCGATAAAACAAACTAAACGAGTTCGTATTAGTTTGGTTTTGATGAAATTCAATTATGAGAATTTTTTTGTAGGGTTCACGAACTTCTCAAAATAATGAACACATAAGTCGATCACCAGCTAAGCCAGCAACATTACTGCCCCGGCCATCTACTGGTAAACCATCAACTATCTTACCACAACCAACACAAAAACCTGTTGTAATTGGTAATCAAATGGGTAAGTTAAATTCATAGAACTATATATATTTAGAATTTGTATTTTTCTAGCACCACTTATTCCAAAACCTATTACAACAAGTATGTTATTCAACAATCGATAATAAGATTTAGTTTTATTTATTCTTGAATAGACGGTCAAGTTATTAAACCATCTACAACAAATCATGCTCAAGGATTTACTACTTATCTAGTAGTCGATGGTAATCAAGGTCAAGTAAGTGAAAATTGTTAATCTTTTTATTTTAAGAGAAACGAATTTGTTCTGTAGCTCGTTCAAGTTGCTAGTGATGGTCCAAAACCTGTAACATTTCGTAATCAAGCTGGTCAAATTCTTCAAGCTACACCTATAACTGTTGTTGCACCAAATAACCAACCTTCTGCGCCTTCATTTCAAACCAACGGGGATTCTTCTATATGTAAATAATATAAAAAGAAAGGAAGTAAAGAATCGAACCTTATTCTATTTTCTTAGTATCCAGTCCTTCACAAATGAATACATTTCAACAACAACAACAACAACAAACTGCTGTTACTTCTCAGGTTAGAACAAAAAAAAAGAGAGTTTTATGTAATTATATGATTTATTTTCTAGTTACATCAAAATACATATCAAACAGTTACTACTGTTCGTACAAGTTCATTAATTGATATGCAACAAAGTAAATTATCATGATTATTTTATTCAAAAAAGAAAAGTCTAAACGTATTATTTAATAGCTACTCTAACAAACGATACAACACAACAATTATCAGGTATGTCACAAATACCTACAACATCATCTTTAATTAATGGTAAAGAAAAATATACATATTTATATATGTATTAATTATTTGATTATTAGATGGTAATATTATATCATATCAACCAACATCAATTCTTAATGGAAATACTTTATCAACACATGAAAGAGATATGTCACCAGTTAATAATGATAATGATTCATCGTTAGATGATACATCTGGTTAGTTATTTAATTATTCAATAAATAAAATAAATTTTATTTTATTTAAATAGGTTTAGATAGTTCAACAACACAAGATCCAAATCTTTCACTTACACTTTCACAAATAGCACGTAAATCGAATCATCGACATCGACGATCTAGCAAGTAAAAATCCAAAAAAGAAAAAATATTATTTTTCTCTAATTTATTTTTCATTATTCAATATATTAGTTCGAGTTCATCAAAAAAGAAACGTGGACGACCAAGGTAAAACTCCAATATTATGTTTTTGTTTTCTTCTAAATAATAAATCGTCTATTTTTAGATTATATGAGCGTGATCCATTTACTAATAAACCCATCAAAAGTCGTTCAACACATGAATCTACAGAATTAACAATACCAAATATAGCATCAACTACAACTACAACATTGCTTATGCCTGGACAAACAACAACAACAACATATAATAGTTTACATCCAAATACTAATAATTGTACTTCATTAATTTTTCCAACTCAACCAATCAGTCATACAGTAAGATATCTCACTAATTTATTATAATATCATCATATTTTATAAGGAAATAAGACTATATATTAAGAATTAAAATTCAAAGATCATGTTAAGCATTTTATCTAGATTTCTCTTTTCTTCACCTATTTTTAGACTACAATTCCTGTTAATAATCCTTCATTATTACAACAACATCAATATTCCTATCCATCGTTACTGAATGGTGGTACTACATCATCAACAAATATGCTTACTGTACCAACATTAAATATTCTCTCTAGTAATAATACGCATACTTCATCACCTTCTTCATATTCATATCCATCTCAATCCACAACAATTTCAACTCCTACTCCTCTTCCACCACAATCATTACCATCAATAGCACCAAATAATCTTTCTCGTTCATTTATTCCTCCCTTAACTCATACTGTTGAAAATCAAGTAACAATTCCATTGAAAAATCTTCAAATATCATCAACAATATCTCCAACAACAAGTTCTCCTCGTTCATCAACTCTTGCTTCATCTACAACTGTACCTAATGTTGTACAATTAAATCCTTCTCCAATCAAACCTCTTAATCAAACTCCAACAAATGATATTGTCGTTCATTATATAGGTGGTTTTGTTATACGTGAAAGTAGTCATCCATTTCCAACTGATGAACATGATGATACATTAAAAGATTTAAATCTTTCAAATGGAAAAGAAAAAGAAAATCATAGTTTTAATGATAATAATAGTGATCTTGGTTCGGATCAACTTCGATGTATTCTATGTAAAAAAGTTGATTTTTCAGAAAGATTTTTCAATCAAGAAAAACGATTTTGTTCGAAAACATGTTCAACTAAATCATCAAAATTAGCCAAAACAACAAATGGAAAAAAATCTCAACCAGAACAAATACCAATTATAACAAATGAACCAACACGAATTATTGAAAATACAACATCACAAATAAATATAAATGAACAAATACCATTACCACCTGATCATGGTCTACCAACTGATCCTAGTAAATGGACTGTTTTTCAAGTTGGAGAATTTATTGGACGATTAACAAATGATACAATTCGTGAAGTTTTTTGTGAAAGTGAAATGGATGGTCAAGCTCTATTATTAATGACACAAGAACATTTACGAGATACAATGAAAATTAAATTAGGTCCTTCATTAATTATATCAAGTGAAATAACAAAGTTACGTGAACGTTCACGAACATTATTTTAATTTTCTTGTTCAATAACATCGACGATATTTTCTTTTTTTTCATATTTTGTACACATTTATTTGTTTGTTTGTTTGTTTGTTATTCTTATATGCAGATATGATATTGTTTGTTTCTTTTTATGTAAACTATATTCAGGAATGATTAACTTTATATGTATATAGATATTCAGATGAATGAAATTTTCTGAATATTATTATGGTTGTTTTATGTACAAATATATGGATATACCATGTTGAAAAACAATTAGATTTTGATATCAGCATCAGAAAGACAAAATTCAACTTCTTCTAGAAGGATAGGTTTGTGATATTTCATGCGTTGATTCCTAAAGTTTTTTATGGATACTTCTCCTCTCTTTTTTGATCATTTCTAAATCTATAAGATAGTATGACTGATCGAGTACATTAAATAACGAGACACATATCCAAGAAATAATGTTTCCTATACGGTCTGATTTTGCCACTGCATGATTTCATCGTAGTTCTAAATATGTGTAGTAAAATCTTTAGTCCGATTGGATACAGTTAGAGGGTGATTGTCCATGGCACAAAAAGTTCATGTTTTAGTACTCCGGTGAATAATTTGTGATGTTTATCTAACTAAATGATGGATTGATTCTATCTTTAAAATTTGCTAACTAATGTTTTTCATATATTTTCGTATGTGATTTTGATAACTTCAAATAGTTTGTATCTAATTATTTTGCAAAAGAATCAAATACATACAGATTGTTAATATACAAAAATCAGTTTTATTTATTTCTAATATTACCGGCGAGATTAAATCTTCATAATATAAAAAAAAGACAAACAAACATAAGGTACAGTCCTAAGAAAATGCGGGAATAAATTATATGTATTGTTCTGTGGATATATATTGCTTTATTTTGATGAAGTCGATCCTGGTGGAATAACTTCGCAATTACTGTCTGATAAATGATGTTTTGTTGGTCCATTGATAGCCTAAATATTATATTTATTAATTATTTTGCAAAGAAAAACATTTCAATTATTTACTTTGCCATATCTATCAAAACGTGATCCATGAAATGGACAATCAAATGTTTTTTCTAATGGATTATAACGAACAAGTGCTTTCAAATGTGGACATACAGCTGAAAATTTATAAACAGTTCCATCTGTATCCTTATATACAGCTAATTTATGTAAACCTTCACGATGAATACAGCCCTAAAACAAAGAATATATTTTGTTTAGCTTTTTTTTATATTTCATTTACTTCGCCTGGTTTTAAATCTTCAATATCTGCTGGACAACTGCTACCAGTAACATAATCAAAGAGTGATGCACCTGCTTCAATATTATGTTTTATATATCCAAATGGATTTTTAGTCATTTGTCGACTAGGTTCATATATTTTCGCACATGGATTATCAAGTCCAAAGACAAGATCACGACAAAGTAATGCGCCAATTGTACCATTTGTCATACCAGTTCCTGAATCACCTGTTATTATATAAATATTTTTATTTCCAGGATTAAGACCAAGAAATGGCAATGCATCGATAGGTTCTACTACTTGTCCTGACCAACGATAACGTAATTTTCCTGCTATGGGAAATTTTGCACGTGCTAATGATTCCAATGATGCGAATGTTTCTTCATATGAAGTTAATTCGTGTCCAACCTTAAAAACGAAATTTAAAATTAATCACATTATAAATAAAATATATATTTCATACTAAATTATCTTTTCCACCAACAATTAAAAGTTCTTTCGATGAATTTAATTTATCATCAGTTGTTAAACGATAATAATTATATGGTTCATCTGTATCCCAATAAAGTGCTCGTTCAATAGCGCCCTTTTCGACTTCAAATGCCTATTATTAAAAAAAAACAAATTAAGAAAATAATGAAAATAAAATAAATTACCATAGCATAAGTTCGACATTCAGCCATTTTAGTAACCATTGTTACACGATCGTTGATTGGCATATATCTATTTATTGAATAATTATATCAAATAAATATAATTTCGATAACTTACGTTGCTAAAATCATTTTTTTACAATCAATTCGTTTATTATCTGATGTAACAACATAAACTTCTCCTGTTCCATCTTCTTTATTATCGTCGTTTATATCCAAAACATGACTATTAGTAAAAATTTGAACATTTTTAAATTTTTTTGTTAATATTTGAGTTAATGCATATAAATATTTTAATGGATGAAATTGACCTTGATTAGGAAAACGAAGCCAATGTGATGTAGGATAATCAACTGGATATTTTGGTTTTTTAGTATCCGAATCAAGTAATTCAACAGTCATACCAGCTTTTGATGATGCTTTAAATTCTTTCTCAATAACATCTTTTATATGACTATCTTTTGCTGGAATTAAATAACCAGGTAAACGTTCAAATTCACAATCAATATTTTCTTTTTTAACAAGATTTTCAATAAAATCAACTGCTTGATGATTTGATTGACAAACAAGTCGAGCAGTTTCATCACCAAACATATGTGCAATTGAATAATAATGATCATCATATTCAATTTGTAAATGTGCTGTTGTTCGACCTGTTTCACCTGAACATATTTCACCATCATCAATTAATATGATTTGTTTTGATGGATCATGTTCAGCAAGACAATATGCACTTGTTATACCAGCTAATTAAAATAAAAAAAATTTAATTAATGATTATACTAACAATATAATCCTTATCTACCAATTCCAGCACCAACAACAACATAATCACATGTTTTATTTTCAGTTAATTTAGGAAATTTTGGTCGTTCAAGTGAATCAAGCCAATAAGAAAGTGTACATCCAGATGAATATGTTCCATCTTTGTCATCAATACGAGGAACTGAATCGTTAGTGCTTTCTAAAAATATAATGATTGTATTTTCATAAAATAATTCAAATAAAATACTAACTAGTAGCCATGAATCGTTTTGATGTAGCAAATGTCGTTGAGTAAAATCTTGAAGAAGAAACAGAACCTATTCGTTGGATGATTGTCACGAGGCGATACGCGTGCATATTATAGGATAGAATATGATGAAGTGGAGAGAGTATGAGAAGGAAAAAAGAATAAAGAAAAAAAGGTTAAAGAAACAATTCTTGTTCTATCGAAAAAAATCTATGACCGTTTTTTTCTTTGTTTATATATTTCGAAACAGTTTCTATAATCAAATTTAATTTGATATCTGTTGTATGACTATAGTTGATTTACTTATATATCGGTTCACTTAACTAAATTGTACCTATTGAACTCTTATTGAAAATATAGAGTTGATACTAGATGGATAGAAAATCAAATAACTAGTAAACATATGTGAATTGTTCGATTGATTCTTTTGTATATAACAATTCGGATTCAAATTTTTATTTATCGCCATTTTGTTTGTCTATAAGAGAAAATAAAAAATAAGATATTTTTACATTTTATACTCGAAGAAAAAGCATGAGATATATTTAGAAGAACAAAAGATGTCGCCGTCTAGTATATACATAAAACAAACGTCTATTATTTGTATTATACAAAAGATGAATATATAAAACATCAGTTGAATGATGGTGATCAGGGGAATTTTTTAGTATCAGTAGCACAAGATAAGTGATATAGATAGACTTAAATAGCACGTAATGGAAGATACTTTTAATCTTCTGCTTCTCATCAACGCATTTAAATCGTAAAGGTGCGTAGGTATGTAATATCATTATACAAATTACATGAAAGATACATCACCTTGTTGAATCTTGTATTCCCGACATTTTTTTGCGTTCGGTCATCGTCATAATTGAATACATTTGAAATATGGCCTTATTAATGTTGTAAAAAGAGGCACGTATGATGAATATAGATATAATTTGAAGCACATCATATGGTATTCTGATACACAAATGTCAAACTAAATGTGCTGTCAACAGAATTATTTTTAAAAATCCGTTTTTGACTATGATACAGTGATATGTGTACAAATACTCATTCTTTATGCGATTTTGTTACGTATTTTCCGTCTTATTTACCCATATTAATCAATATAATAGACAAATATCATGCGCAAAACGCATCTGACTCGTGATAAGTAAGCACTTCCTAGGTGGTAGATGCGTCTCATTTTCCTGACTTATTAAAAGGTGAAAACAAAAAATAGGATGTACGATATGACGTGTATTCCATGTTAATATATGTATATATATACACCTAGCCAAATGGTTAGCATCACAAACCCGTAAAACAAACTGCAAAAAACATGTTCCAAATTTACAATCGACCACCATATGTACCGCAACGTTCTCTTAGAATACGTTCCACGAGTATTCGATATCCAAGAACTCGCTTGTCGTATCGTCAAACGATGATGGGTCCTCCTATATCTTATCCGACACCTCCTGTCAAACGAAATTGGTTCTTGGCTTGTCTACACACTTGTTTTGCAATACTTACTATCGGCAGCAACAGTCAAACTGGTAAAAAACAGCAAAACAACAGTAGTAGTAGAAGCAGTCGAGTGACAACTGTTCGACGAAATAATACGAGTGGTGGTAGTGGTAGTGGAGGAAGTTGTGGTGGTGTTGGTATGGGCAGACTCGGTGGTCTCGTTGGCTTAGGTGGCATGTGATGCTTTTTAAAATTGTAGCGATTATTATTAAAAATGATATAAGTGGCATTTAGTTGAGCAGATCTTTTTTTCTAAAATATTCATACATAACAAAATAAAACGGAATAATTTTGCTACAATTACAATAACTCATGACGATAAGGTGAAAAACACTAGGTACGTCTGCTTTGATTCTGATAATTGTATCAGATGTTATTTGGGTGACAAAATATTACGTCCAACACGCTCTGGCTATTGTCAAAGCTACGCTACGGGCATAAAAAGTCACAGTTGTACGCTATTCCACTTTCCACTAAAATTCTGTTTCGTCAAAGTTAATAGAGAATCGATTCCTTCCACTTCACTCGCATACCGCATCTCTATTACTGACTTCTTATTGATTGAGGATTGGCTACAATCTGAACGGCAGTTAGATTCTTAAATCATTGAATCATTTCATATCAATCTCAAAAGAGACCATGTCGAGTGGTGTGAGTATGAATACAGATGTCGGCATACATAATAAATAGATCGCTCATATCTACACCCACCCTCAAGATGGTAGTGGTATCTTAGTAACATAAATGTTAATAAGTTTTTTTATTCATACAGGAATTAACTTAATTTATTGAAATAAATATTGTTTAAATGAATATACAATTTCATACATATCGCTTTCAGTATTTATCCAAAATATGTACCAAGTATAATAAATCAATAGTTTTTTAATTCATAAAATTGTTTACCATCCAAAAAAAAACAAAATAAACTCATTTCTTTTTTTTCCGTTAAAATGCGGATATTAACGAAAATATTTGTGAAGGAAAAAAAGGAAATAGATTACTATTACTTTTTGGTAAACAAGCACCTGCGAAGCAAAAATAAACAAAGTACTCGAAATAAAACCTTCCCAATTGCATGAGTCATTCAAGAAGCCGGTTAGTCAATTGTTATCTCATTTATACAGGAAACTGATGGAAAATTACTAGCAAGATAAACGTTAAAAGAAGCAATTGAACTTTTAGACGAAGTTACTCAGAGTACACCTGTTTACTGTATGATAAACTGTGTACATACAGGTTGTGGGAGGTGAATCAAACATGTCAGTCGAAGAAATGTGGCTCACTTCATATGGAAAAAACTAGTCAATCACATTGGAATCCTTGTTTTATCATCATCCAAGCTACTTTCTGCTCTTTCTCTATCAACTCCGTAATTTTTGAAGGTCTACCTGAACGTAATATATGTACTTTTTTAAGACGTACCGAAATATGATAGGATTACAAGAAGGAGCGAACATATAAGCGGAAGCAGTTGTAGCTCACTTGCCATAGGAAAAAATGATCCAGGCAATTTAAAGTGTTTTATTTCCTATAACTTGAAATAAGCTACTTGAGCATTCTATCTATCGTACTTTGATGAATCAACCAGACTGTACTCCATATTGAACTCTTTTCTATCTAGTTTTTAACAATAATGTCAAAATGTATATGACATGAAGAGTTGAATTAAATTAGAAAATGAGTTGTATTTTCTACAAAAACTCTTTGATGTTTCCATTCCATATTCTTAACATTTCAGCAAAAATCCTGCAAGGATTTGCTGTTTTTCAGTTGGAGGAACTGAGCAAAACACGTCAGCCATTTTCGGTGAGCACAACTTTCTCTCATTCCTACCTCTCGGTTTCTGAAGAAAACTGTTTTTTGTTCTCGTTCTCTCCCGGGAAAAACCTTGTCTATCGTTGTTCTTGTATTTTTGTTGTCGGGAGAATTGTTTTGCTCTCACTCCTATATTTTTCTTACCTGAGTCTTTTTCCCAGACAAAAATTTGTCTATCATTATTCTTTCACTCTCATTATCAAACGAGTATTGTTTACTTTCGTTCTTAATTGTCTTTCCCGGAAAAAAATCGTGTCTGTCATCGTTCTTGCATTCTTATTGTCGGGAGAATTGTTTGCTCTCATTCTTATATTCTTCTTACCACAGTTTTCTTCTGAGAAAAAAAACTTGTCTATCATTATTCTTACATTCTCATTATCGAAGAAGTATTGTTTACGCTCATTCTTAATTTCTTTCCCGGAAAATATTACTCTCACTGCCGTGCAGAAGGAAGAAAATCATTCCACAGCTCGACGGTAAGTAGAAAGTGTGGTGTTATTTTTTTTGTTGTTTGGCAGACACATATAAAGTTCGAAGATTGGTTCAAGTATTTATTGATTCAGCAGCGTTTTCAACTAATCGTGAGAGTAAGGGTGAACAACATAGTCTCGCATTCATATACATTAGTGTCAGTATAAAGGGTGTAGGTGTGAGTGTGGGTATGAGTGCAAGATAGTTAGACACCCAATCCCACACGCATACCCTCAAGGCATCTCAGTAGCGATGGCAAATCGAAAATATTATTTTTTATGACACCATAAAAGTGTTTTTTACCAACTCTTTCTTAAGATCTTATCAATACGACGAAAAATTCCTACGTTCATTCTTGCTTGTATACTGACACATGTCTCAAAAAGAAGCATGGCAGAACGAGTTATCGGTAGAGTCAGTGCCATCCACAACTATCGAGTTACCCGATCAAAAATCGTCTCAAATTGGAAGTGATGCAAAACTCAAATCACAAGAAGAAGACGGCAGGTGGTCGCTGATCAGCTATGGACGATCAGATGGCAAATCAACTCAAGAGCTTCTCTTCCAGGTAATAAATATTGATTTAATTCTTAAATAATTCTATCGTTGTTTGTTTCATAATCTCTATATAGGCCGCTTCAGAGAAGGATCTAGACAGGGCTCAAAGCAAATGGGAACTATTTGAGGATGCAGTCACAAGAGAAAGGGTTTCGAAGGGAAAGCTGATGAAAATAATCGATACTCTCGATGAAGATAAACAATGGGCAGCGCTTCATTATGCTGTTGACAGTAACAATGAGGACTTATGTCGTAGATTAACATCCAAAAAAGACAAATGTTATAAATTCGGTATGTTATTATTTTATATCAAAATGAACAATATTTGTGATTTCAAAATATAATAATGTAGTTTATCATAAATTAACATGCAAAAAAAAGAAATATTTTAAATGCGGTATGTTATTATTTTATATCGAAATGAACAATATTTGTGATTTCAAATAATAATAATATAGATATTAACATTCTCGGTGGTAATGGCGAAAATGTTTTACATGTAGTATCTCAATCGAATTTTATATGGCAAGGTATAGGAGATGTAAGTATTTACGTTTGAATTACACTATAGGGAAGAGTTCCAATTAACACTCGTGAAATAGTCTGTTCCTAGCCCAAAACTAGATGCTTTCGTCGAATTTACCAGAAATTCAAATTTAATTCTTTCGCTTATGCCTTAGTAATTTCTTTACGTGTAATATAAGATGGTTGGGGTATTTTGGAAGCTATTGTAAACGTACCTGTAGGAAAAACTGACGTCCAAAAGCCACATAAACGTTGATGTAAATATTAAGTATATGTACACGTATATGTTTTTTATATGTTAACAGGGAACCATTACAAAATTTCCTGATCTGATCAGATTACTTGTTGAAGAACGTGGTGCTGATGTTAATCATGCAGATGATGAAGGTCGCACACCTTTGCATATGGCTGCAATGCGAGGTCGGCTTCGCTATATCAAGTATTTGATTCATCATGGAGCCAAAGTTGACGTAGGTATACATTTCATATTACAGGGATCTTATCTTTCTATATAGGTTTTAACCAAACTCAACGCAAGTGTACTGCATTTTGCCGTGTTCCCTGTTAATCCGATGGATGCAGAACAACTTCTTTCTATGGTGGAATATATAAGGAGTGAACTATTGAAGAAAGAGAAATACTTTTTCAAACTTTGCACGTTGGACAACAGAACACCTCTTGTCTTTTTAGCATCTCATCCAGCGATTACATATTCATCATCAAACGATCCAAATGACAAGCAACTAAAATCCAAGAAGGCTCTTATGACATTATTTACTGAAAAAATGCAATTATTTACTGAAAAAACAAAGGATCAAACACAAATTCTAGTCGTATTTGACATGATTGCTCGACGTAAACAATGCCAGCTGTTTGGTCATTTAGAACATCTTTTTAAAATGTCTTCGCCTCAAATTCAAGAACAAATAATTCACCTTGCATGCCGATATGACAATGTAGCTCTTCTTCAGTGGCTTATAAATAGACCAGCACCAAAAGGAGACTCCAACAAAATTAACTGCGCTGAGTATACACCATTACTGACAGCGATATTTTACAACTCAGTGGCCTGCGTTCAGGAATTGATCGAAGTATACCTTTATTTTCTTTTAATCATAATAAGCAAAAATATTGACAGAACGACATAATATACATGATTCGTAACTGTAAGCGATTAGTATCATTTATAAGGTCTGCTTAACGAAAAGAATATTTCCACAATGATATAGCTAGTGTTTTTGTCTTCACGTAGCTCCGTAAGGATAATAAATAACTAAATTAGCACATCTAATCATTTAAGTCGTTTGATAATATTTTTCATTTATAATTTCTTTCTTAATGTTCAAAAAACTTTCGACTGTTCCTTGTAAGATTGATTTGCCGTTATAATTTCCATTTAAAACTTCAGTCATAGCGTTAGATTTAGGAGTTTTAATTAAATTATCTGGAAATACAATAAATTCAATAGTATTACTCAGTTAGTACTTTTATCAAAACTGTGTATTATGCATTTTCTTCCGCCTAGTTAGAGACATACATATCTCAAAAACACTTTATAGTGATATGTTAAGATGCGTATTACTTGCCAAAACAGTCAAACCATGAACTATATTTTATTATTTAGAATAGAGACAATATGTCTCAATCACCTCTGCTGGCAGTAGGAGCTGTAGAACATGACAACATCTTACACATTTGTGCTAAGCGTCAGGTGTCATTTGATATTCTCGGTATGATCATCGAAAAACTATCTGCTGACGACATCAAAAAGTTGATGAAAACAAAAGATAGTAATGGTAACCTTCCATTGCATTTAGCGGCTCAGATAAACACTGAAGAAGAATTAAATATCTGGAAAAAACTAATCAATGAAAAAACCGTTTCAGTAATACTCAATTTATTATCTATTAAAAATCATCGAGGCAGGACAGTGGTTCACGAGGCAAGTGAACAAGGAAATCTTCGTATTCTTAAATTCATGTGGGAGGTGATTCCGTCAAACCATCACCAGGATCGTACAAAAGTATTTCATGCAACAGCCGACAATAACAGATTTACATGTTTACATATAGCGACTAAGAATGGAGGCGGCAAAAGTAAGTAATACTACATACATCGATTTGATTTGCGTAGAATGGAAACTATTCAATGAAAAATATCTTTTTTATTTTTTTTCTTTAGAACTCGAACTGATCAAGTATCTGATAAAAACTGTGCGTATCGAAGTTGATGTCATTGGTGATCGACGACTCACTCCACTCCATATTGCTTGTAAATATGGACATCTTGATGTAGTCAAGTATCTGATCGAGAAGGGTGCCTCAACAACATTACGCAACGCACAACTTCTCAATTGCCTCGAAATTTGTATTGAAGAGCAGCACGTGGAATTAGTCAAATATCTTTTACAGCTTCCCAATTGGCGAGAAATGATGCGCAATGCACAAATCATCGAAGACACTGACGCTTACGATACACCAATGCGGAAACTCATTCGTTACATGCCTGATGTAGCTCTTTGGGTAATTGAAGAAAAACTAACACGAAAAGTTGGTGGTGCAGGTCAAAAAGTATCCAAGGAGATCTACGATTATGAATTCTATGAAGACATGAATACAGTCAAGCAGTGGTATGCACAAGGTATATTGATAAAAACATTTTTAAGATTTCTATGCATTGCGTTGATTATTTGATCTTATAAGGCTCACACAAATCACATTATTTTTAGAAAACACGACGTGAATTTTATAAAAGTATCGGCAAGTTTTATACAACACCATCATTTGCAGAATTTTCAAAAGAGTTCATATAGAATTTGACGTCTTCTCAGAACAGAATGTTCTAGAATTTCCTCCCTACTGTATCGATATTAAAAACTTTTCGTATAATTTAATAGTTAGTCGATAAATATAACTGACGTAATACGTACAAAGCGATCTAATCATCTAGAGATGCATCAATTCCTAAACCATGGTATTAAAGATGACATTATTTTTCTGATACAAAATGCAATTGTTTGTGGATCTTTTCTATTAGGCATAATCATCTTGAGGGTATGGGTGTGGGAAAAGGGTACTGCTATAGAAAAGACACACACAACACAAAGAAAAACAGTGTGGGTAAAGCCAAAAGGGTGCTACAGGTGTGAGTTTGGTGTTGTGTGGGTTAAATAGAATACTCACAGTCATCCACACACCCTTGAAAATCGAGTGAGTCTATAACCATTTCAGCCATGATAATAATCATTTCTTTATATCTCTCTGAAAATGTTTATTTTAACAGGTGCGAAGTTACCTCCTGAAGATATATCATGCAAAGCTCGATGCCATAAACTCGGGGTCAGTGCCATATTTGGTTGTTACATTAGTACTGGGTGTTGCAACAGAACTGTTAGTGACGAAAATACTAATGCTTGTGAGCCATATACACGTGATGCTTACACACTTGTTCGAAATCATCCTCTGATGATAGTCTCGCAACAATCGGCCTATCCGCAATTGATGGCACATCAATTTCATATCTTGTTACGTAAAAAAATGTTTCGACGATTTAGCACATTCTGGTTGGCGTTCTCATTTCTATTTTATCTTATTCTGCTTGGTTTGTGGACTGCAGTAATTCTCAGTGGGAAACATCCTCAGTATTTCTATGATTTAGCTGGTTTCAACATGACATTGGATATCAATACATGTCAACAAGTTGCTAACAGTCTCGTCTCGCAGAACGTCAACGAGGTATTCAAGACCGACGCATATCGACGACTTAAAGTAGCCCTTTATATAGTTTTCTGGATGTTAATTGCCAAGAATGGCATTCTAGTTATCGCTCTGTTTCCAAAGATCTTTCGTGTAGGAGCTTACTACGTAGAAGCTGCTGCACTCGTGCTCTCATTTGTCTATATACTAGACTGGTACGACTGGCAAAATCCAGTGCTCTTTCGATGTCCTTTTCAATACCAGATTGGAGCTATGGGTCTTTTTCTCTCGTGGATGAATCTTCTTACTTATGTCCGTTGTATCCCTTGGTTAGGTGTTGGCATTTATGTAGCTATGCTTCAAGTCATCTGCTTCAAATTTCTCCGCTTTCTACCCGTACTGTTAATTATTATTTGCGGATTCGGTTTCACATACTGGATGCTATTGCAAAATCAGCCTGTATATGCCACACCTATTGAAGCTCTTATACGCACAAGTTTAATGATGTTCGATCTCGGTTATGAGAGTCGCCTTTACAGTGAACCCGACCAAGTAGCATATTACAAACTTGTCTATGTCATGATGATTTTAACAGCCATTGTTTCCTGCATTTTTATTATCAATCTCTTGATTGGTAGGAATACTCTTTTAATTCAATATTTTAGATTCGTATGTTCAGGAGCCTCCTCATTGAGTAATTTTGAAAAAAATTGACTATAATTTATACAAAATTTTTAATCATCTTTTTTGAAAACTACTAATCAATTTTAGAACTAGATGTTGTCGTTTTGTCAGTAAGGTGATAAATCCATCTTTACGGACATACTTTCGATGAAAGATTATAAGTTGGAGAATTGAAGTTACATAAAATCTTAACAGTAATTACATCTTTTTCTTTTTCAGGTCTTGCTGTTGGTGAAATCCCAACCTTAATGGTTGAAGGTACTCTTTGGCGTAATCAGATGCTCTACGATTTTGTGTCAGATGGCGAAATCTTACGTTTACAGTTTCTTCGATTGATGAAATTCTTATGTTGTTACCAACTGTATCGAATATCACGTATACGTGCTCGACCTATTCACTTGTTAACATTCGATGATAGAGCACATGGCTGGCTTGGAAAAGCATGGTATTTTACAAAGAAACATTTCTTCGAAGAAAAAATTCAGGATGATGTTGAACTCAAAATATCATCAAATAAAGATGCCAGACCATACTGGGAAGAGAAAGAAAATTGAACATTACATTAGTTCATATACACTGCTTTTGACATTACGCTTTCATTCATCTGAACAATATTGTGTATCATGTACTCAAAATTCTATTCCTTAATCAAATAAAAAAGTTCTTGAGTTATCATTGTAATGAGATATATCATCTTTGTGTATCTTTTAGCCTTCATATTACCATTATGCATGACTGTTGTTTATTGTTTCATCTTTTCTATATAAGCGGATGTTTTGTATGTGATTGGAGAGCTTGTTGTGTGAAGATAAAGAAACACGTGATTGGGAACCATTTCATAGTCGAGTTTATAATATTTCTCCCATCTCACATCCATTAAAAGTTAAATTAGTTTCATGGGGTTTTAATCGTAAAAAAGAAAATTTAACAACATCAAGTTCAACAATACAAATAAATTTATTATGGATATTTGGAATAATTGTTTTAATTTTTTTAATTCTTCTTCTTATTATTATATTTATATTGAAATATAGTCGAACAAAAAAGAAACCATTAACACCACCACCTGAATG